CTAACTGCAGAAATTACAGCAATAATGAAATATTTAGGCGACTAAAAAACAAAACAAATGCACTTGTGATGACTTGGGCTCATCGGTCCAGTAAGCATGCTCTTAAAAAGCACTATTGTGTCACTGACCACACCAAACATACAGTAGTGGCCAAAAGTGATATCTGGAAGAGATATTTGTTTTTAATGACCCTACAAGTTTGATTAAACAAACAATTTTTGGTAACGCTTCCTTTTACAGTACTGTACTTACAGTGTACTTACCTAGAAAGTACTGGCTAATATAAGGTGAGTACACGGGTTAGGGGTAGGTTCAGGGTTAGTACCTAGTTATTACCCAGTAATTATAATTACTATAATAAGTACATAGTAAGTACATGGGTAACAGGACTATAAAAGGAAGCGTGACCCAATTATTATTATTATTTTTAAATATTAGGGAAGACTAAACTTGGTTAAAGTATTTCAGACAAAATAAGGCACTTTTTTTGTGAAAAACAAAAAGCTCAGAAAATTGACATCATCAGCTATTAATATTTCGTTGGTTCTCTTGTTTTTGCACCATAATTTTTTTTCGTATGATAGCCTGACAAAATTATGTCTGCATAATTTGGCATGTTTTACTGCATTATTTGCAAAAGTAGGAATTCTTTTTGAAAAAGTAGTGATTCTTTTTGGAAAATACGTTTATTACAATGTAATTATACATTTATTAGTGTTATTATACATTATTACAATGTAATATGCGTTTATTACAATGTAATTATACATATTCTTTTTGGAAAATTCATTACAATGTAATTATACATTTATTACAGTGTTATTATGCATTTATTACAGTGTTATTATGCATTTATTACAATGTAATTATACATTTTTTAAAATGTGATTATACATTAGTGTTATTATACACTAGTACCGATTCTTTCAAAAAGTAGTGATTCGTTTTTTTACGTTTTTGAAAAAAGCAGTTTAAAAAAATTTAATTATACATTTGTTACAATCTTATACATTTATTACAACGTAATGTGTTTATTACAATGTATTTATACGTTTATTACAATGTAATTATACATTTATGAGTGTTATACATTTGTTACAATGTAATTATACATTACAGTATTATTATACATTTGTTACATTATTCTTTTTAAAAAAGTAGCGATTTATTTTTGAAAAAGTATCGATTCATTTTTTTTTAAAAGTAGCGATTTAACTGAATCTGTAAGTCAGCTACACTGTTTAAGGCGCCATTCACATATAGCGCCTAAAAACGCGTAGAAAACGCTGGGTGCGCCGCATTCTCCTTTTTCCAAAGCGCTAGGGCGGTTGCGCTCCGGAGGCGTCTGTCGTTGCTGTGGTTGGTTCTTGTCACGTGACCTACGGTGTGCTTGCGGCATTCTGAAAAGTTGAGATATTTTTATCTCGATGCGGCGCGGACGCGCTTGGAAAAAACGAGCACGTCGCACCGCGTCGCTTCCATTATGAGCGCGCATACATTTGAAATAACGAACTTGAGAGCGCAAAAGACGCGATATGTGAACAGGCCCTAACTCTGAATATTATATTTTATTCTGGTGTGCGTTATCGTTTTCTCAGAGTTTAGGCTCCTGTGTAATAGTAGCCTAGGCTAATAAGCAACTCAAACATACCAAACCAACAATTACTAAAAGCACACAAAAACTGCTTTTGTACGGGCATTGCACTAGTATAAATAATTTTGCACAAGGCAAAATATGTGTGGGTATGTTTGCACAAGCTCTGCAATTCGGCACTCTAGTAAAGTCACGTCACGTCTATTTATATATCACTTTATTCACAATAGATTGCCTAAAAGCAAGCAGCTTTACCGTATTAAACATGAAAAACATTGTCAGTGTCTTGTTTCATCAGAAGAACGGCTTCATTTTCTACTAAGCAGCTCTCCAGTGTGTTCATGTTTTCACCAACCGACGTCTGACCTCGACGGACTCAACAGGAGAAATGAACTGGAAAAGATTTCAGCGTGAAAGAAAGCGGAGCCTCAGCGCACACCTACCTATTACGTAATCGCCACGGACCAATGGTAGAACAAAGGCGTTTATCAGCCGGAGCGAACTTTTCCGGAAAGTTCGCCTTGGAAAGCTGTTTCTAAGTCCTGAAACGAACTCCAAACGAACTTCGCTTTGGCCTGATTTTGTTCGAAATGACGTTACATCAGTTCGTTCTTGTTCTTTTTCATTCTTCGTTTAGGGGTAAAATAAAGTTCGATATACTATTAGCAAACATCTGACGCCACCTACACTGCTTGGAGTGGCGTTTAGATGCATATGTAAATATGTGCTGCGTGCTTTCCTGTCAATAGCAAAATGAACAAAATTGAGAAAACAGCAAGCATAAGAAAAGCATCTGATCATAGCAACGATGTGTTTGCACAAGCTCTGCAATTCAGCACTCTAGTAATGTCACGTCATGTTTATTTATATAGCACTTTATACAATAGATTGATTTAAAGCACGCTTTACCGTATTAAACATGAAAAACAATGTCAGTGCCTCATTTTATCAGAAGTACATCACTTTCTACTATAAAGCGAGATTCAAGTGTATTCATGTTTTCACTGTCCTCGACAGACTCAACAGAAATAATAAACCATGTGAAAGAAGGCGGAGCCTCAGTGCACACCGACCTATTACGTAATCGCCCACGGACCAATGGGAGTTTGAAAGTGTTTACCAGCCAGAGCAAAGTTTTCTGGAAAGTTCGCTTTGGCAAGCCGTTTCGAACTCCGTTTGGGCCTGATTTTGTTCGAAATTATGTCATGTCAGTTCGTTTTTCGCTTGAAGTATATCGGGGCCTTTAGACATCACTGAAAGTTGCTTGTAGCTTCTTTATAAATAGCTCCTACTCTTAAACAAGTCCTACTTTTTTTTTTACACTTAAGCCTATTCTTAAGAGCATTTTTGAGAAGTTTTATACATGGCCTCTGAATCCGAGTTTGCAGTCGATTGTAAGAAAGGGGCGGAGTTTAAGAGGACTAAAAGATTGGAGAAAAGTTCGAGTTATGACATTTTGATGAAAAAATTGAATTAAAATGGTAAAATGAAACCTATGCATGGCTGAATCATTCACACTAACATGGGATACCTTTAGAAAATAGATTCATTTTCTTTACATTCAACACACCTAGACCTTTTTCTCTTATTGTTAAAGTCATGGCAGTGATGGCACAACTCATCCAAAAGGCTTTTTAGGAAAGTACACCGATGACCTGCTTGGATCACAACCATCCTTTTGGTTTGCAGGTCGTTTTGCTGTGCGTGACATGCGTCAGACAGTCGCAGTGGGTGTGATTAAAGCAGTGGAGAAGAAGACCGCGACCAGCGGAAAGATCACCAAATCCGCTCAGAAAGCCCAGAAGGCCAAATGAATGTTGTGTTTGACTGCCAGCTCCAGAGACACATATGGAAAAGCAAAGGTCATCCAGCTCTTCTATCCTATTGGCTGCCTAGGTTCCATAGTTAGAGACTGCTTAATAGTTCCAATGCATCGCAAAAGTATCAGAAGGAAAAAAAATATTAACAAAAGCAGTCCTTTAGATAACTCTAGTTTGTACGTCGACTCGTAAATCTTAAATCCACACCATTATTTGTGTTTTGATAGTTGTGCTCTTCTCTTCGATGATGGCTGTTGAAACCATATGTGATTTTTAATATCTTGAGAGGTCTGACCTCTCCTTCTCTGGAGTGCAGTTTTAGCCTGGTTCTCACAATGTTGTCTTTGCTTGTTTGCAAAATACCATGTGTTCACTATCCACTGGTGGTGAGCTACTTAAACAACACTATTTAGTAGACTTTGAGAACCTGTATGTTTATCTTTGCAGACCAATGAAAATCTAAAATGAAGCTCTTAATTAGCCCATGTCTGGGCTCATGCAATCTTTGGTGCACTGACAGCTTTATGTTTAGCACTTTGACTGGCGTAGGCTAACCCCCGCACAAGCACTTGTTGACTTTAATTGGCATTAGCTACTGCACCTTATCATAAAAAATAAAAGCTTTCATGTCATATTAAAGATGTCTTAACCATGATAATGGTGTTTGTGTTCATTTCACTCTCAAACAGGACACTACATAAAAGCTATATAGAAATGACCATTTACCTTTGTATTCAGATATTACCAGTATGTATGGCGAGTTTAGACTCTAAATAAAGTTGACAAAGTCCATAAAATAAACTGTCTAATAACAATAAAGTCTTTTAGTAAGTTTGAAGTCCTATTCTGAATGTCTTCGCCTGTGGAAGAACAAAATCTTTAAACGTTGTGTGGATAAATCGTTACTTTTTTAGCCACAAGATGTCGCAACTGATCCGTTTATAAAATGATTCATTACCAAGTCATTTAGTAAAACAGGAAGGGTTTGCACTAAGATCAGTAGTAAATATTTTATCAGTCTAGCTGGACTAATTTACAGTAGGCCTATAAGATATAGCCTATCCAAGATTTAACAATAATTTACCACAGCTAAATTACTGTGGTGCTTTAATATAGGAGATTTCAATTTTAATGCAGTTACTGTGACCGTATATCTATAGGCTACTGGAAACTTTTTTGTGTGCACTTTTTACGTTATTGAACAATATTATACTTCCTGGGCAATGACCAACAAAGCAGGGCATTGTAAATGGTAGCCTAACATTCAAAAATATGAAATCTTTTATTGGTCAACACAGATCATTTTGAACAGTCCTTATGACAAAGTTCTATACATTTTTGTACCGGTCTGTACATTTTGGCTACTTAACACGAACCACGACGGAAAGTGAACCCTAATAAATAGCCTACAATATGGCCTAAATAACGTCACATAGCTAAATACGTAATAACACCGAGGAAGTGAGATATTTCGTTTTTGGCATAGTACCATCTGCATCCTGACGTCATAGTTCTATGCCACAGAAATGCAAAGATGCGCGCGTCCGCGTCGCCTTCGGTAGCCCTACACCTGTAATCACGAGCAGCCAGAGAAGACGAAGCAGCGTCCGGCGACAATGTCTGATCCACACAAAGCTCCAGCAAAAGCGAACAGGAAGAAGAGTAAAGAGCAAAGAGATCACCAAACTAATGACAGAGAGGAGAAATCTCGGGAACGCGCCGAGGACGAGGGCGCATCAAAACGGGAAGGCAGAAAGCGACAGAGTAAAAAGGAGAAAGATCCTCGTGATAGTGAAAGTGAGGACAAACCTCGTGAAACCCCGACACCAAAAGCATTTAGTGGAAGCATCAATCGACAGAGTAAAAAGTCTCTGGAGATCTCCGAGAGCAAGTCCGAAGAAAAACCCAGTGCGGCATGTAGAAGATCCTCTGTTCCTAATAAAGCAAACAATGCTGGCGAGAAAGACAGACAAGACCGTGCAAAAAGCAAACCTCAGCAGACTGCCAAGAGCGAGTCCGGTGAAAAAACAGCACCAATACGACAGAATAAAAAGCAGAGAGACCCTTCAAAACTTGTCAGAGAAGAATCTCTGGAGAGCTCCAAAAGCAAATCACAAGAAAAATCCGTAGCAAAACCTAGAAAGCGGCATGAATCGGCTGCTGAAAGAGACGTAACGTTTTCTGACCCGAACCACACACGGGACGCTCCTCCGGGGCTTAACGCGCGCAGCTCTGACCGCAAAAAGAAAAGCGCAGAAAAAACAACTGCAACGAGAGGACCAAGCGTCGATGACACACTGGGAAAGGTTCTTAAAGCAACTATTGAGAAGTTAAAGATCAAGAAGTTCGAGCGGTCCAATGCATCCAGTTGTGTTAATGACATCACGGATAAAGTCATTGCACACCTGAAACAAAACACGACCTGGTGTACAGATATCGAGCGTTTAAGAACGGGAAGTTATTATGAAAATCTTAAAGTAAGTGTTGCAGTGTGATATCCACTATGTTTAGGAGAGCGATTTTGGCCTGTTGTAATTTATTTTTGGAATGAATGTGCAAGTGTGTAAAAGGCATTACTCTATTCGTTTATAACAGAGCCTGTTTCTACAAATCTGAATAAGACAGATGGCATATATAACTGTATTAGCGGCCTAATTAGAATTCCAGGACATACAAACACCTCATTTATCAGAGCATGTCCAAAAACGGTGAGACTTGGTGATATTAGAAACAGGCATTTGTGGAAGTTCTAAAGTTTTGGGCCTGTTTTTATATTGCACACCGGTGTGTTATTATCAAGGATATGACCATTTTTCTCTTAATTAATTTATTGTTAAAGAATATAATAAGAAGAGAATTCCAGAAGAGAAAAATAATATACATAGTCAGATAACGCATGCAGGATGGAATATTACAATAGTATTGCAGTAAGATCTAAAAATAGCCTATATTCTAGAATATGTGCATGTAAACATGGTGATGGAATGTCTCTTTAAGAATAAGTAAATGCTTCAATAGTAACCGACTGCAAAGGCTACATATTATATGGCCATGATGAGACTTCTAATCAATGGGATCCACGGCAAAAAGTTTTAGTTCAAAACAACCAACATCAGCTTTAATTTTGTTTACATTTTAGATTTGTGAACCAGATGAATTTGATGTTATGCTGACTATTCCTGTGGAGAGAGTGGATTTAGAGCAGTTCGACGAGGCTGGCGCATTTTACAGTGTTGCACTGAAACGACATCCGAATAGACATCCTCTGGACATATTCCTAAACGAAGACAAGACCATTCAGGCCAGCAAAATGCTGAGTGAATTCAGAGATGCCGTTAAGGAGGCTGTGGAGAAACTGCGATGTAGGTACAATCTAGATTTTTATAATTTTTTGTTATTTATTTATTATCTGTCACACACACACTTGAACGCGCAAAAGACACGATATGTGAACGGCCCCTTGACGAGATACCAAGATCAGGCCAAGTGTTGGAGTAAAAGATACGCAGCAAGAACAAACACTAGTGGTTCACGACCGCAGTGTTCTGATTTCCTATTTACTTGTTTGGTGGAGGCAATCCAGAATTACTGTTGGTGAAGTTATAATCAGACAATACAAAAGAAAAATAGAAACATTCATAGATGTCATATTTAATCTTAAGTATTGTGACGAAAGAAAAAAAAGCGGGGGGAAAAGTATACATTTGTGTAAAGAGCATTTTAATGTTGAAATGTTGCTATTTTCAAAACTATATGGTATGTTTTAAAGTGAATCAGCAAATGGTTACTTGTGATTTACAGCAAACCATCTGCAGAAATCCACCCTCTGCATTTAATTCAACCTCTGGAAAAACATTTCACCAAGAACACCTTGCTTTAACTGAGATATCCCAGCAATCTCTTTTATCCCCTCCTACATCCTTCCCAGCAGCTCTGAACTAAAAGGCTACAACCATTGTATTGCTTTTTGGTAATCTTTGTATGTATTATTTTTTGCATTCTATAGACAAAATTGTGATACAGCGAAAGAAGGCCAGGTGCCCTGCAGTGACACTGGAAGTAATAGAAAATGGAAAGACAATTTCCATCGACTTCGTTCTTGGTCTTAAGGTTCACCGTGCAAGCTGGCCAGACTTTACAAAAGATGGCTTCAAAATAGACAACTGGCTTGGTAAAAAGGAAAAAGCTGATATGAAGCGTCAACCATTCTACCTGGTGCCTAAATATGTGGGCAAAGGAGATGCAGAGCATGATGGAGTTGTTGCAAAAGGTATACTGCTTATTATTATCAGTCATTTACTTTGTGTTTTATATGTTTATGAGCTCAGCTACTGCAGCCAAACAAAATGTTTTCTACTCAGATGCATGGCGAATCTCTTTTTCACATGTTGAAAAAGAAATTCTGCAAAGGCACGGCCACTCCAAGACATGCTGCGAGGCCGTTGGAGAGAAATGTTGCCGGTAACTATTCTGTTTCTCGATGCTTTGATGTATTTGAAATTGAATCGCATACAACAGACCAATTTTAGTTTAGGTGCATACATTATCCGTTTTGATAGTTCTTCATTGCTTGCATGAAAATACTGGTCTGTAAATCCAGGAAAATTAAAAATAAACAAACAAGCTCTTCAAGCACTAAACATGAACTGATTAATTTTTGTCCACTTCTACAGGAAGGAGTGTCTAAAGCTTCTGAAGTATCTTCTTCAACAGCTCAAAGAGGATGACTCCAAGTCCAATAAAATGTCCAACTTCTGCTCCTATCATGCAAAGACCACCCTGCTCCACGCTTGTGCTAAAAGGGGAAATGACAGCGAGTGGGCGTACAGTCAGCTGGCCGACTGCTTCCAGGAGCTTTTGGAAGACTTTGTCAAACACCTAAGAGGTCGTCATCTCCCTAACTTTTTCATTCCATCCCATAACCTCCTACATCAAGCCACTCCGAGTAGCTGTGATTTCCTGGCCAAAGCAATTGAATTTCAACGCAATAATAACTTCCCTATATTCAGTTAATTCTGATTTTCTTTTAGTTGCATTATGTATGATTTGTTTTTTTCCTCTTGATAGTCATCTGAAGTTTAATTCAATAAACATCTTCCAAATAGATTTACAGGCTTTTATTTGATACACATTCAACTGAACAAGAAATTTACGTCATCTAAAGTTAGGGGCATTTTACCTCACATCAACGTAGATAACAATGTTACTGAACTGAAAAAAAATCCCATTACAGAAATACATCATGCATATAAAATGTATCAGTGTTTCTTAAACATAACAAAACTTAAATGGTCAATTACAAGTACTTCACAAGCCTCTCTACAAATGAGAGGATTAACACTTTAAAAGTATATGAATTAACTCGAGTGAGTACAGTCACATCAACCTGAAAGACAGAATTAATGATCAATATTACTACTGGCACAAGATACAAATGCTTAAAAAGTACACATTTGGTTAGGAAACATCTGGTGAATGCTGAAAAAAATTAGGTTAAATTGTGGTTGATTTTACGTATTCTTAAAAATCTGTTGTAATTTAAAACTTGCCATTTATGTTGATGTGATTAAGAAAGCAAGATAAATATTAGCCTACCTTTCAAGAGATCAGAACCTCCGGTCTGAGCCTCCTCTGAAACGACCTCTCTGACCTCCTCCTCTGCCTCTGGGCGCAAACATTTCTTTCTCCTTTTGGTGTTTTTCATAACGTTCAGCCATCAGTACCAGTTCTTCTGGTACATCCTAAAGAAAGGAAAAATACTCCCCTTTATCCAGATTCTCCATTAGGATGTTGTGTAGAGATACAATATAAAAACACACACAATATAAAAACACACTAAAGACAATCTCATGGAATAATGTATTCTCTTTCGATATATACACGAACCAAATCGACTTAGTAAAAGTACTTTTCCAAGCAGTGGTGAGGCTTTTGGCTAGATGATAAACTGTTTAACCGACAGAGATCAACACCTGATCAGGTGGTCTTTAAAAACAAACAAAAACAAAAAACCGGATAATTTGTTTCATACTAAAAATTTATTTTTCATTCATTTTGTTCGGTTAGCTCTGCTGGTTGATGTCGTTGTACAGAAAGAATGTTGTGACAGTTGGTCGGTGTGGTATTAGTCCCGCCCCTCCTCCACTGTGATTGGACGGCTGGGTAAAAAGTGACCGTGATGAGCGCTGCGTTTTATCCAAAGTTGAACATTTTTCAACTCTCGGCGACCAGTAAAAAAACGCCGGCCGCTCAGCGCTTCAGCGTGAAAAAAAACGCTCAGCGCCTCGTTACGCTCATGGCGTTTAAAGGGGTCATATAATGGTACATGCACTTTTACAAGTTGATTGTACTGAAATGTGTGTTGGCAGTGCCTGTACACAACCATCATATAATGATAAAAATCCATCCAGTGTTGTTTTAATCTCCTTATATGTTTTCCCCTGCCTCAAATCAAGCCGTTCGACCGTGTGACGTCACACACTCGGACGCCCCTCCCACGATTGTTGATTGACAGCAGCGTTTCAACACAGACCCTCCCTCGCTCATGAGCGAGCTGTCAATCATAGTCCGCGCGGACCGGCGCGGTCATTGTTGATATGCTGGAGCACTGTCTATGAGCAGAATGGCGTCTAAGCGATTGTGGTGTTCTGTTCTAGGGGGCAATAAGGAACACAGCAGTCATTTTAATGTTCCTAAATCCGAACCGCTGAAGACGCAGTGGCTGAGTTTGTTTTCGAAGGGAATATTCCCCACGAGCAACGTCAATGCTTTCATGTTTGCGCGAATCATTTCTCACCAGACTGCTTTATAAAGGAGGGTCAGTATAAAGCTGGTTTTGCTAAGAAGCTGCTCATGAAAAAAGGATCGGTACCAACTATTCGTGTTTAGGGCTGTAGTCAACCAAAGAAATCCTTAGTCGACCAAAGTCCTGTCCTGCGCAACGATTAGTCGACTAAAAAAAAAAAAAAAAAAAAAAAAAAAAGACACGATGTTTTGATTGAACATTTTTTAACAATTGTCATAGCATTTATAAAACAACAACGAAAAAACATCAAAAATACATAAAACTATAATAATAATACAATTCTTTTAAAATTAAGTGATTTTTTTTTTAACTGCAAAGATAGGAGCTCTGTCCTAGGTCTATAGTAGGCTAACAGTCACAATCGCGCACCTGACCACACCACACGCTACACAAAATATAACTGCTATCTGCCACAATGAAAAATCCTAACAAAAGCTCTCGTTTACAGGCTGTAGCCTATATTCTTCTTTACTTGTCTTTCAAAGCTATGGGTTAACTTTTGTCCAGCCGATCTAGGAGTTTTAAAACAAACAGACAAAAAAAACCAAAGAGCCTAAAAAACAATCCTATTATAATAATAATAGGCTGTATTGTAGGACCGCATATAGGTTTATTTTCGTTTTGTTACATTATTTAGGCTATTTTCAAATGCATCAAGTGTACAAATAAAAACAAAAACATATCAAGAAAACACAATCTATTGAGTCAGCATGATAAAGCCGTTAAAGGGACTGCTCACGTCTTTTGCGCGCTCAAGTTCGATTTCAAATGTAGGCGCGCGGTGTGCGCGCTCATGATGGAAGCAACGCGCTCTTTTTTTTCCAAGTGCGTCCACGCCGCATCGAGATAAAAACATATAGTGTATAAAAACATAAAAACCTAAACAAGTAGCATTATAACTGAATGAATACAGCTAAACTACCTATATTCCTTACTGAGCGCGAAGCAGCAGCGCAGCCAGCCACAGGGGGGAACCGAGTGTTCTATGTGTGTGCGCTAAACTGTGGCGCTGTTACAAAATAGCCTATATTAAAGCATTTAAAGTTGGGGATAAACCATAGGCTAATTATATTCAGAATACAGTAATATATAACTGCTTATAAAGGAATAAATATCAAATATCTTTCTATTGGTAAAAAAAAAAAAAAAAAAAAAATACAACTGGTCGACCAATAAGAATGTCAGTCGACCAAGATGGCATCGACCGATTAGTCGACTAAACGACTAAAGTTGACAGCCCTATTCGTGTTCCTGCTGAACCTCCAGAAGAACTGAAGTGAGTGTAACGTTTTATTAATCTTTACATTAATATTTATATTAATCTTTGCAAATCGCTTGCACACTTCACGATGAATGCGCCTAAGGTTTACACTCAGGGTACATTACGGCATGTTTTCTATGTACGACGTTCTCAATATAATTTATAATCCCACGTTTATACTGAACAACACGTTATGGTTATTGTGTTACAAACGGTGTACGCACAGAACAGAGGGGCGGGGTGAGCAAAGCTCATTATCATTTAAAGTCATATGCACTGAAACGGCGTGCTGAAAACAGAGCTGTTTTTGACCAGGTAAAATAAGTGTTTTCTTACAATACTAATGAGAATTTTTAATTAAAGTATATTACAAACTTTTAATTTAGACCCTAAAGAATCATATTAGCTTGTACAAAAATGGCATTATATGACCCCTTTAAAAAACGCGTTAAAAGACCCCATTGAAAACAATTGAAAACATACGCCAGGCGCGTGGAAAAATGCTTTGGTGGACACACGGCCTTACGGAACAAAACTTCTCTATTGGGCGGAAATATTTCGCCACCTGAGCAAAAACATTCTTTATACCAGAAAAACGGTAGGTAAACGCACAAAAAAAAAAAGGTTTTATCATGCAGTAACTTAACCTGAATGTGTCATTTCTATTTTATTTTACCCTTGATGTAACTTAGTGGTATTAAATCATATTTTTGAAAACATGCAAAAATTAAAACGTCTTTACCAATAATTTCTATTAAAAAATAAATCTCCTGCAGGACAGTTCAAATCTTTACAATAATATTAAAATAATTAAGCAGTTACACTGACATGGTTTGGGACAACAAAAAAGTGTTTTTGTATAGTCAATTATTGGCTACAGGCAGCATTAAACCATCAAAATTAAATGATTTTTTTATTGCTTATGAATTTCCAATATTTTCTTTTTCAAGGGGTTTTCAAACTTTTTAATGGCAAGGAGCCCTAAACAATCCCCTTGTGAGATCAATTCTTTATTATGCTTATAATATAATAAAATAAAATATAAAAACGAATTGAAGTATTTAAAGTGATATAATATCATCGTTATATAAAGACTTTAAATTGATCCAATAGCTAAATATTTTCAAGAAAAGTGATTGTGAACTCTTTTATAGTCATCTAAACATCCCTGAAACTAAAATCTTTATAAAAAAATAAATAAAAAATAATATGTATGTATGTAGGTGTGTGTGTGTGTGTGTGTAGGTGTATAATGTGCCCATGATAAGTCTGACTATAATTTATTGTCTTAAATATACTGGACTATTTCACTTATTGGGCAGATTCTGAAGTCCCTTTTATAGTGATATGATCATAATATATTGTGCATTCCTAGTACAATATTTTTTATATTTTGTCTACATACAGAGAGGAATGTGTCCCAATGACTAGAAAAGGTGACCTAAAAAGGTCTCAGACATTTCGGTACATCCCTATTTCATATCATAAACGTGCAACTTACATTCTTACAAACACAATCTTCTGTGAGAACTGAAGCTTCTGATTTGAGTTCTTCACATAGCAGAGTGTCATAAACATAATGAAAAGAGTGGATGCCTGCAGGCGTGTTTACCTGACCAGACCTCTCCAGGATGGTGATCAACTCGGAAGCTACTCTCCAGTCATCTCTTGTTACCAGGGTTACAGAGGCACCGGACCTCCTGAGTCAAGACATGGACTCATTTACATAAAGAGCCTGAACGGTTGCATTCTTATTACAATTTTCATTGTTTCTATCATTTCAGTCACACCCATCCCTGTTTGACTCACCCTGCACGACCTGTTCTCCCGATGCGGTGCACATACTCCTCCACATTCCGAGGGAAGTCATAGTTGAAAACATGTGTGATGTCATGAACGTCTAGCCCCCGGGAGGCCAGGTCAGTCGCCACCAGAATCCGCACACGACCTTTTACATCGCCCACGAACAGGCAGATAGAAATCTCAGAGATCAATTTTGGTTAAATCTTTAAGGTCCAGGTACAATCGCTGACTGCAGCGAAAGTTGTCATTTTGCTTAATAAGGTATGCATTTTCTGTGCGGACTAGTGGTACCAAACAGAATTGCAAACTGTCAGTTGGAGTAGATGGGCAACAACAACATTGACTCAACTAAAGGAGTGAGTTTGGGACTACTACATGTTTGTTTAAACATGGAAAATGGCATTTCACGAGTTCACACTTACATATAATTTTGAGGGAGTAAGATTTAATGCGTATTTGGCGTGCTGTCCGGAGGGAGGGCTCCGAGCTCGGAATTCAGCCCGAACCCAGAGTACTCCCCCCGTATGTAAGTGTTTTTAGAACTAGGAGTGTGGAGAAGGGGTGGCGGGGGAATGCTGCAAACTGTCAATGGATCAAGGTAAGACTGCTGAGTCTATATGTACCCTCTTATCATTGATTGCTGTCCACTCGTGTTAATTATCTGAACGTGCTCCTCCCAAACTTAGTTAATAAAACTTCATTTTTACAATTCTGGTGCCATTACAGAAATTACACACTTTACTTTTCTATTTACTGCTTATCAACATACATACCATCTCTAAAGTCCTGCAGTGCCTCTTCTCTGTCGCATTGCTCTCGGTCTCCATGCAGAGACTGAACCGTTAAACCCTGCAGACACATGTCACTGGAGAGGTCATCGGCTCTACACAGCAGCAGGAAAGAGAAATCACAGTGAGAATCAGATTTCTCAGATGGTTTTGCTTCAGGATTTTACTTTGGAATCAACAGTTTGGCATACAATTTTGATTGATCATACTCTCGCAGACCATTAATTCTCCACACAAAACAAATTGTGGTCATTGTTTCTCCTTGTTGCAAGTAAAGTCTTAATGTAGTCAGGCTTGTACTTTTACCTGGCAGAGTTTTTTTTTCATGGTTTGAGGATAAAAGATCCCACAAACAGCACCTCTAGAATAGAAACAACCTTTGCTGCTATAAAAACAATAAACCATTTACAACGCAAGCAGGCATGGGGCTTTTGCAGCACTGGATCCAATAGCAGATCTGTTCTGGGTGAGATTAAGCAAGCACTTAATCATATTGTCTTAATCAAAGAGTATTTGGTTCTAATTGCACAACTTTTGAAATGAATTACCTCAAGCTGCCCACTGTACTGGGGTGTGGAAGAACAAAACCTATGGCTATTAAAGCAAGCGAAAGGAAGAATTTTATAACCACTCCCTCTGACAATGGAGAAATGCCAAGTTTCATTTTTAGAAAAGAGAAGCATTTCTCCACAATCACACATGAGCTGATGGCCACGGACTGATGGTCACATCATGAGTGATCATAATACAAATTATACATTATGCAATACCATTTTTCAGCAGAACTTGAGTGTGCTTGCAGAAACTCCTCCCAGTTCCTGTTTCTTGGAATCGAACCAGGGTTACTCTCATTTAAGTTTCGTTCTGAGAAACTCACTTTATTTTTTTCCCAACAAATATCAGTACTTTGTCTTTAGGCTCCATTCTGTGGATGAAGTCAAAAACATAGTCTTTTTTTTCTTCCTCCTGCACGAACAGCACTGTCTGCTGAACAGTGTTCACCGCCTGAGGGAGACAGATGCAGAAGGGAAATTAACTGGGGACTTTTAATAAGGAGGCCAAACAGAAAAGTTATATTTAACCTGGTATATGGGCATAGGGCTGGGTATCGTAACAAAATGTTCGATACCGATACCTTGACTTCGATACCGGTTCCTGAACGATACTTTTTTCTATACCAATTTTAACAATATAACATTACCTAATTTTTATTTTTTCAGTTTGTTGACTTTTTTTACACTCATATTTTGAGTATGTAAAAAAGCACCAATGCTAAAGTTTTCTATGTTTCCTAATCATTTAACAACATGTATTCTTTACTTCAATGAGCTCATTGTTTCTGCCTCAACTTAATGCATTGTTTAACAATGAAACTGAATGAAAATTAATTGAAATGCATTACATTGTCACCTCTGATAACAGATCACTCTAAATTGTAATTTAGACACATGCATTTTCTGTAAAGCTGCTTTGAAACGATATGTATTGTGAAAAATGCTATACAAATAAATGTGAATTAAATTAAATATAGGCTACTGGGGGGCGGGATATGCCACGCGCTCAGCACACATGAAGCTTGCCGCAAAGCACGGGCAAAAGTAGCCTAATGATTATGAATGTGTCGGGAAACAATAGCAAGGAGATATTTTAATTGTTTATTAATGAACAAGTGTTTACTAATGGTGTGTTCTCACCGAACGCGAATTTAATTATTTGCGCAAGTAGATTACATACAAAGTCAATGCAAAGACGCGAATAGACGCATCATTCGCGCCGCGCATCGCAAATTAGGCGACGCGTTTGCCGCGAGCGTCTCCTGCGCAAGTTGAAAAATTTTAACTCGAGCGGAAGATTCAAGCGTCTAACTAAGGGGTAGGCAAGTTCGGTCCTAGAGAGCCGCTGTCCTGCAGAGTTTGGCTCTAACACTGAAAAAAACCTGCCTATAGCTTTAGTAATCCTAAAGACATTGATTAGCTTGTTCAGGTGTGTTTGATTAGGGTTGGAACTAAATTCTGCAGGACAGCGGCTCTCTAGGACCGAACTTGCCTACCCCTGGTCTAACTAGACGCGATAGACGCGTATTTGACGCTCTATTCGCGTTTGGTGTGAACACACCATTACTCTCAAGTGTATTTTGTGCGCTTCTAAGTGCCTTATCAGATTTACCGTGTTACCGGTCTTGGCAGCAATTATCTTGTCGAAAATATTGCGTCACGTGCTTCTGGCATCGAGTCTGGCACATAGGTACACTTTGGATCATTTCCACATATTTCTATCTGGGTTGGGACGCTTACTGTGCGTTCACACCGGACGCGAATAGCGCGTCAAATTCGCGTCTACCGCGTCTAGTTTGACGCTTGACCACTTTGTGTTAATTCGCGTGTCAATGGCGAAATTGACGCGCGTAAAAACAAAAGTTTGAAGCGAAATTTACGCGCGTCAGAGGCGAAATCCGGAGGCGAAAGTTTCAAAACCCGTTCGCGGCCATCTTTTTAGATGTTTATCGAGCATTAGCATTATTCGAGAGAGTCACCGCTCGTATATGCTCTGGAGAGCAGAAACAGCTGCGTAGGGGCATAGTCGCTGTACTCGGGTCCACCAGAGCCTCCGGAGGGTTTCAGGAGTTTCACAATTTGCTCCAGGAGCTAGGTTTGGTGGACCTAACGGTGAGGACGCTGACGGGGACAGCGTAGGAGTGGTCTATGCCTGTCGAGCCCGCGCTCTACAGCCCGGCGCGAGGTTTACCTTCGCCCGCATCCACCTAATCTGTCATTTATTTTTGTTTTGATAATAAATGAAGCCAGCCTCCAAAAGTGATTAATCTGTCCTGTGATTTTTTTTCTCTCTCTCACACATCACTGTCCAGACACGAACTTATATGTTGGTTGTCTTTACATTATAATAATATTTCATATAATCTAGATATGGAATAAATAGCATTCAATACAAAATGAATATGTCTCATATATTGAAATCAAGTTTTATGTGATAAAATATTTGCTTTGTTGTGCATTAGAACCACAGTCATATACTACAAAATAATTTATTGAAGCATCCAGATACTTCACCACGTGACAGCAGCAAGCAGCTAGGCTCCTGATTGGTTAACGCGGCGCGAATTGACGCAGAAGTTCAGATTTTTCAACTCGGGCGGCAGACGCGAATTCGCGTCAAACGCGTGAATGCACAAATAGCACTAACTAAATCATTCGCGGGTAAGCTTCTTAACGCGCCAGACGCTCAATTCGCCCCATTCGCGCGAACTTGACGCGCGAATGAGGCGTATTCGCGTCTACCGCGCCGCGCTCTACGCCTCATTCGCGCCGCAGGAATTTTTTACGCGGGTAACGCATCTTTGCATTGACTTAACATTGAAATCACTCGTGCCTGATGCGCTATTCGCGTCCGGTGTGAACGCACCATTACGCTTACACACACACACTACAGCCTCACGTGCGACGAGCCACATCTCTGGGCAGCCGCGTAAACTAGTGTTTTTCCGCCACAGCCAATCATGCTGCATGCTTATTGTTTCACTGACGTTGACGAGATTAACCACTTAGGTACCGAAATTTGGTACCGAAAAACAAGACATGTTTCGATACTCGGTAGTATCGAGGCAATTCGGTCGGTACCTAAAAAGTACTGAACTCGGTACCCAGCCCTAGGCATTACCCATTATAACTGTAACTGTTCACTCACTGCTAGATCTAAGGTGCCCACATAAACCATCATGGGGTCTTTCAGGTAGGATTTGGCCAGCCGCCTGACACCTGTTGGCCAGGTGGCACTGTAGTAGAAACAGAGAAAAGTACCTTAAATTGATGCAGCAAAAGAGTAATCATCCAAATGTCCAAACTTCATGATAATAAAGCATTCAAACTCTTTTGAAAATTAGCCCCAATTCTGCATTTAAAGTCCCTGTAAAGTCAAAATTAAGTATGTGTTTTGAGTTTGTCACACCACAGAAAAATGTGTTATTAGTCACCCAGCCAAATTTGAATGATAAAAAAAGCCAGCAAGTACATAAAATAAGCTATCAAAATCTTGAAAAAATTAGCAGTAATCTCTGCTCTCAAACGCTGGGGGCGTGTCCACTGGCTGCGCTGAAACCACGCCCACTCGCGGGAAAGCTGCCGTCGACTCGCCACACTCAACTCTACAGCCGGAATGGATGCTCGCACGGTGGGCACGCTCTGCCGAATGGCACCAGTTGTCGGCGCGACTGGAGGATGAAGGCTGAGGCGGGAGTCGGTTCGGCCCCATTCACCAGTAACAGCGGATTATCAGTGAATCCCAGACAGTTATCTCCGACGAAAGTTTATAAAACTATCCCGTGTAAAATGATCACTTACAGAGGCGGGTTTTGGCGGTGATCCTCAGCTCTCCATCAAGGTGGCTCTTCACAAAATTAATCCACTTCTTCTTGATGTAATCGTTTTTCGGAAATTTAAATAAGGACACCGATCTGTTTTGTACGTGATCCGGTGATCGCATCCAGGTAGTACGCATTTCCGTGACGAAGGCATAGCTAGTAGCTAGCAATATGTAGGCTGTGTTACTAATAATAGTACTGACAGTAACTCGCGATTGAGCGGCAAACTGATGTGAATGTGCTCTATAATATTGTCAGGAGCGGCCAGCCTCAGTGGCTCCAGTGCGTCATCAAGTTGGGGCGTGTCCAGGAGCTCAAGGGCTCCAGTGCGTCATCGAGCCCTGTTTTAGCCCCGCCCAGAAAATCCGGAAAATATCAATGGTGAAAAACTGTTTAACGGTCTAACTCCACAATTCAGTACTTCACAGTTCACAGTCTTTGTAATATGTTTTAGCAATACATTTCTAACATTTATAATGTGTTTAGAATTTTTTTTTGAAATTGCCTTTACAGGGACTTTAAAGTAGGGATGTTACGGTGAGGAAATTTTCCCACCGGTTAATCAACACCAGACATTGGAGTTTTTCCCTCTTTTGCACCTCACTAATTGCTAATTCGCATGGCCGCACAGGCATTCATAACGGTGCGGAGCAGAGCGAGCATTTTCAAATAATTCCTATGGAGTGCGAACGTGAAGCTCAACCTCCATAGCAATGAACTGAAAACGCTCGCTCTGCTCCGTGCCAGTGAATCAGCACCAATTCGGGGGAGGCAATTACTTGAATGGTGGGTTCATTATTATTCTTAATGAAAAACACAACTAGAAAAATGTGTGTGCGGCTGAACGCCAACTATCACAGCAAGCCTAATTTAAAGGCTAATTTACACTGCAACGTCATCAATTGCCATTTGTAGGGTCGTGAAATATCTGGGAAGTGATGTACTTTGATCTGGTGAATGTCGCTGTTGAAAATATTGTTATCAGAATAAAAAAAAATCAAATAAAAAAAACAATCACCTTGTCATTAAAGTTTGTCTGTCAGGTCGAATATCCAGAATGATTTTCATGATTTGAGGTTCAAAGCCCATATCCAACATTCTGTCAGCCTCATCCAGTACCTGAAACAAGAGGAAAAACAAAAGACATCAATGTATCCAAAAATTATTCAAACCTAATTTTTTTTAATTGCTTTTTAAATGCTCACAAAAAGAATGCATAAAACACATCCATTACTGTCCCAGTATGCACTTTTGCCATTTACTTACCAGATAGGTGATGGAGCGCAAGTTGATGAGCTCGTTCATCTGCAGATCGTTTAATCGTCCTGGTGTGGCAATGACTATGTCCACACCACTGGTCACTACTTTAATCTGGGCCTTTCGGTCACCTCCTCCATAGATACAGATGCTACCGTAATGAAAGGGATTTTGATCAAACAGACAAAGCAGGACACTAGAGGAATTCATAAATGGTGTGTTTTGCATTAAATTGAGAACTTATGGTTTCAGCACCTTTTAAACCCTTTGTAGCTATATTTGCTGCACTCGGCTTCAATCTGGAGGGCCAGCTCACGGGTGGGAGTCAAAACCAACATGCCGGGGCCATCTCTTCTGTCCCTGCGACTACAACAAATATGTACAGTTGGTACTCAACCAGTATAATAATTTTACCGCCGCGAGAACAGCAAAATTGGGGGTGAGTATTATGCTGCCTTTTACCGCTAAGAGGCGCTACAATCACAGACTTTGAAAAGTGTCAGTTTATTCTCTCTATTGCGTAATCTGCCGTGGCTCGTTGAAAACTGGCCAGCAGATAAATTCAAGTGAAACAGTTAAACGAATTCATAATCCCAATACAACTGAAACAAATGTAGGCTTCTATTATTGCATCAAATTTAAGCAAAGTAGTGTAAACGTTAACATTGTGTGCCCAGTTTTTCTATAGCTAGAAAGGCAATGCATGTAAAGGTTGTGTGTCTTATACTTTGTGTTATTTTAATTTGTAAGTAGGCCTAGATTTATGAACTGAAACATAGTGAAATAAATAAAAACTAAATGATCGTAAAATTAAAACATTGTCAAGACTTGCTAACTGATGTTAGTCGGAAGCATTTGTGTTTTAGGATTAATTAAGAATTAAATAGGCTTACAGTAGGTTGTTATGATTAGCTTTAATAAATGGAAACATTTCAACAAACATTGCAATAGAAAAATGTCACATCAATGAGGCTTTGTGTAAGCATAAAAGGTTAAGCTCATACTCATAAGACAGCGTTCAGACGATAGCTGTGTTGTCAACGCTACAACACAGGCCTCACAGGGCTTCAAACGGTCTTAGATCGAATCTCAGCTCTAGCTACCATCTTCATAATTTTGTTTCTAGTTTAATACGCTATTTGTCAAAAATAAAAACTTCTGAAAATATTCATTTATTGATTTGAAACACTTTTCAGAGCTTTGTTATTCATTCTGTCATTTTTATTAATAGGCATTTAGATGATAACATTGTAGCCTACATGCTGTTAACTGATGTCGGCCGGCAGCGTTTAAGTTTTACCGTTCTTGATGGTTAAAAAGGTAACAGATTATTTAAGTCAAGCGTTTTGTTTAATTAATAATGGCACATTACAACATAAATTTGCTAAATTCCAGTAGAGCCTCTGTTGCGCTGCACAGACGACAAAAGCCAGAGGTGCTTTTGAAGGCAGATTATCGATTATCAGCCGATTGCACCAGAAAAGTAAGATGATGAAGCTCGTCTTTAAACTGCTAAATTATTGTTTTGTGAATCATTCACGAAATTGAGACGATTGACAGTGATAGCCGGCCACAGCAACGAAATACATTTTTCAAAAAAGATCCATACATTGTTTTGTTTTTGTAGCCAAGTCAATGATTTGTTCATACTACCTAAATAGTATTGCTTTCAATAGAATACTAAAATTAATTCAGTTTAAAACCCCATCGCACATCTCAAGGTTTAAATAGAGTCGGGAAAGTTTATTTATTTAAAACAAGTCGAGCTTAACGTTTCCCTTTGCGATGCAAAATGAGAAATACAGAATCTTATTCTTGCAACATTTTAAATTTGTACTGACAAAGAAATTGCAGCTTTGTTGTGTACAATTAAAACAATACAAAATGAAAACAGTAGCCTGCAAATCAACAAATTACAATCGGGCGTTTTTGTTTGCTTCTCTTTTCTGATCTCTTTTAGCAAGTTTCTTTTGTCTCCCTCACAGCGCAAGCCATGTCTCTATTAAAATTAAATGTTTCAGTGTAGAAACACATCATACAGCTGATGATACTGTATATTTCACTGTGTGTCATCCACACCACTTACAAAAAACAACTGTAACAAATGATTTAGCCTTTGTTGCTTCAAAGAAAAAGAATGCCTTTTTGAATTCACCTTACAATTAAACTAGGTTGATCGCGAATAAAGGCGCTCTGTATCTGCTGCTCACTCACATTTGTTTCTAGTTAGCATGAATGCATTTTGTCAACAGTTCATGTTTAGATAAATATTTAGACATTTAAAGCTTTAGACATATTTCTTATTGTGAATGAGCTGAGGCAAGTGGCTTTCAGTTCATTTTTGTGACGTGCAGTTCCCGGAGACAGAGACCACATAAAAAACGTTTTGTCGTTAGCCTATTGTGAGTGTACATGAATAAAAGTTTACAGTTTTGAATGATGTACTCTTATCTGTAAGACCAAAAAATGGCGGAGAATATTAAGAGAATAAAAAGCCGTGAATGCATTAAGGCCACTGGAACCAGGATCGTAACTGAAACGTGCTGCATGTCGTCTCTCAATACAGGAGCAGAAGCGCTGGTTCTGAATTTATTGTTTGTTGTTTAAACGTGCGTGTTGCATATATTTATTTCATATATTTTATATGGTATATTGGTGAAGTATAAAGTATAGCATTGATTACTGTGGGGGGTTAAAAATAATTCAGCAAAAGCAGGGATATTTAGACCAAATGGAAATCCCCGTCGCTCCGAAAAAAAGCACCTTGCTTACAACCATATTTTTTAAAAACTCTTTCTGTATAGGGAACCACTAGGGGTGGAACGGTTCATGTATTCGTATCGAACCGAAACGGTACGGGCGTCACGGTTCGGTGCACGAATTTACACGGAGAATACACGGTATAAAAATAAATAAAACTCGCGTGCAAATTAATTAATGTAATGCGGAACTACTGTTAGATACGCGGGTTCTTTAGGGACACATAATCTGTAGGCTACCATCGGCTTAGCTCTGAACGCGCGTTCACTTCAAACGTTTGCTTTATACACGCGTCCTATTCGCTTTGGACTAGCGTCGAACTAGACGCGAATTTGAAGCTCTATTCGCGTTTGGTGTGACCGTGACCGCATAATGAACAGGCTGCGATGTCTGTGAAACGACAGGGGGCGACTCGGAGTAATTCTCCTCTAAACCACCAGGAATCAGCAGTGAAGAAGTAGTTTGCCGTTTATTAGTAGTTTATTAATAGCTGATTCATATTAAAAGAGTAATAAATGCAGTAGGTGTATTGTACTTTCTTGTACAAACTCGTTAAACATTTATTGCATAAACTCGCCTTATTGAAGAGTGTTTAAACCTTAATTCATCAGCAGGGCTTACTTCTGCTATTGTAGGCTTATTTTTTAAATGCAAGCAGTTACTTTAGACAAGTGCAAACTGGGTGCTTAATGCAAATGTGTTCCTATTCACAAAATGAGAGGCTTTTATGGTCGCCCATCAATGCAAATGTCTCTGTGTATAGAAGGATCATAAACATCCTGGTACAGACGTACCAGTTCGGCCTGATTCGGCTCGAAGTCGTTCATCTTCGGATGCGGCGCCGCGCGCGATGTTACAAAAAGTGCCGTGCACACCGCCAGGCGAAATGGGGTCTTGCGCACCCAACGCGCACGACCGCCCACACCGCAATTACGTCATTTTGCCGTGCGCACCTTCGCGCTCTTGCGGACGCGTCGAGTATAAACAAGGCTTAACTGTGTGTGTGTGTGTGTGTGAGAGAGAGAGAGAGTCATTTTGTTTATACAGATCATTAAACCTGCAAAGTGTTTACTTATATTTGTGTACACTCGCAATAAAACACAACATTGTGCTTTTGTCACACTGTAAACTCTTGTCAAACTGTAACCTACAACTGTCACCCAACCAAAATCACATACACACTGTTTTAAAAGCAAAACATATTTATTATCCAACTCCATTTCAAAACAGTCTGTCTTTTGGACATTCGTCATATTGCATTGGTTTTCATTTCTTGTCCTCGGAGCACTAATCTTACACATTCAACATTGATTAAAAAAGAAAATCGAATGTGTTTTTAATGGTAGTATTATTTTATACAGAAATCAATTATTTATAATTCAGATGAGAATAATGTTACATTGTCAATTAATAATGTTAATTAAAATTAAGGAAAACAAATATATTGATCTGAAATATAGCAAAATAATTTTAAATTAATAGTACAATTACCAAACATATCGCAAGGTCTTTTTGTCTTTTTATTAATTTAATTAATAAACTAATTATATAAAACTATTGTCAGTGCACTACAAATAAACTGGTTCTATGCCTTTATTAATAAAACTTATTTAAAAAATACAATGCCTTCTGCATTTTTGTTTTGCTTTTTCCCTCCATTGTACCGAAATCGTACCGAACCGTGATGTCTGAACCGAGTTATGAACCGAACCGTGACTTCTGTGTACCGTTCCACCCCTAGGAACCACATAAAGTTTTTTTCCCCCCTGTTTTTACAGAACTGCTTTTGGAAATTACGATTGGAATTATTATACAAAATGCAAAATCATTCTGTTGGATAATATTTGTTCCTTATATTTATAAAATGACCATGCATTTCCATTTTACAATAAGCAAATAAAACTATATGGTGTAACAGTTTTAGAACTAGACAATTCTTTCTCCATTAATAATAATAAAAAAATTACAGTAGCCTATGTTTGTTCAGTTTTTGAACCCGTGTCATCTAAATTATTGAAACCCAAGTTATACCACTCGACCACGAATTTACTAGAAAGCCCAGAAGTTCAGTTGTCCAGCAGTCAGTGTGTTCGCTCACATGAGAGAGAAGCACTCTTCATTACAAGTCTCATTCAATAGAATATTAAAAATAATCAGCATCATTGCACCTAATTTATTTTCACTGACTGCGAGATATACCTATAATGGTATTTTGGTGTATTTTTTTTTGTTTTTTTGTTATTGCGCTGCTCCCCCGAGGAATAGGCTTCTGTTGCCCACCGACGTCTACAATATAGGTTTTATTGTTGTTGTCTCCATTTTTAACTTTTGAATCTATTTTTCTGTTCTAAAAGTTTGTTCTATTCTGTGTAAAATAGTTGTACATATTTAATTTTTGCTTTCGTTAAATTTAATCAATTCTGTTGTAGACTAAGAGGCTTAAACAAAAAAAACCTTTTTTTTTCTAAAAGTTTGTTCTATTCTGTTTTTTTTGTTTTGTAGTTTTTTTAAATATGTAATCAGTCTCATTCTTGTTGAAATAATGAAAAAAGTTTACAAGACCTTGTGCTGTTTTTTTTTTTTTTAAATAAACAGATACAAACAGAGATATATTATAGTTCACTGTTCATTAAAATAGTCTATATTTATGTATCGATTGTTTAACCCTTTCATGCATGAATTATGATAACCTCAGTCAGGATTTTTTTCCTATGTGTTTTATGTGTTGCTCTTAGGGCATGAAAAACAAGATTTGATTTTTTTTTTTTTTTACAAATTTTTCAGATGTCCACTTGAGTGGACAGCATGCATTTATGGTTTAAACTGAAGAGATACGGTATTAAACATAATACAATAATCAAACAGATAAAGTATGTGTATTTAACAAACTAATCAATACAATTATATCAAATCATGTGAAAACTATAAAATGTATATAAAAAATATAAATCCGAAATATTGCAAAGGCAATTGACCTTCATACAAGTTGGACTTGGACGTGTATCTTTGATATCAGAACATGAGGACGTGATTCCATCAGAATTTTCTACAGCCTGTCAAGGTACAACTGTGGAAACCACTCAGATGCTCCCTCCAGTGTACCAGTGTATGTCAATTACCCTTATTAGCTGATGATTCTGATTATGTTCAAGATGGACACATTTCTAGCATAGCGCTCCTCTGAGAAAACCTAGCGGTACGTTTTTTTTCAATCTCATCTGAAATGAGCAGAGTTGGGGCAGGCATAACGCATTCAGATTACTTTTTTGATGTTACAAGTAAAGTAATGTGTTACAAGTAACATGCATTACCTAAGTAATCAGATTACTTTTTGATCTAACAAGTAATTAATTACAAGTAATGTGCATTACCTAATCAGATTACTTTTTGATGTTACAAGTAAATAAATGCATTACAATAACGTGCATTACCTAATCAGATTACTTTTTGATGTTACGAGTAAATAAATGCATTACAAGCAACATTCATTACGTAAACAGATAACTTTTTGATCTAAGTAGTAATGCATTACGTAATATTACTTTTTTAAAGAAATAAGTAAAGCAATGCATTACAAGTCACATCAATTATGTAATTACATAACTGTCAATGATGTCAATGCAAATTACATTCTAATAATACAAATACATTTATTTACAGTAAAAAAAAAGTCACTGCAGATGAAGTATTTTCAAAAACAATATTCACAGTATAAGTATGAATTGTAGCTTAAATATAGCCATTGATGCATGAGGTCCACTATAGTGGACAGATTATTAATCAGATTTTTCTCCCAATCTAAAATCAAAACTTGGAAAATTTTACTGTGATATGACTCATTAGATATTGCTTGATGCTGCAATATTTTTTTTACCTACAAGAGTCTCCTAGGATAGAAGGAATGGGTGGATATTCTGGAGCAACTTGGCATATCTGACTGACCATTGGCCATCTTGGTTTGAAGGGGGAAAAAAATCAAAACACAATGGCTTACAACTTGGTTGCAATGTATAGGATGATGCATCAGGGTCCACTGAAGAGATTGATGTGCAACTTTGCCATCAAAACCCTTGCAAATTCAAGAAAATGCTTTTTAAATAGCTGTCCACTGTAGTGACCACTATGCAACATTAACCATATTTATTTATTTATTTAAAAAAATGATTACTTTATAATATGCAGTTTCACCTCCACCAAATCTTAGGTTGTTTCATTATTGTACAGCTAATGTCAAGCTTTATTTTTCATGTTTGTTGTAGGCTTATTTGGAAATTATCATAGTTGTAGTATTTCATCCTTACCTGCATGGTACCTGCCGGCGGGCCCTTTTGCAATTGCATGTTTAAAACAATAATATCTTAGTAAAAACCTAAAGTAATATTGCCAAACTATATATCATTTGAAAGCTTAAAATCTCTAGTTTTCATATTTGGTGGCCTAATATCTAAAATAAATTACAGAGGAGCAGTAATTTATCAATTTGCAACAAGAATATTTCATATTCATTAGGAGTATTTAGGCCTTTATTTTGAAATAACAATAAACACGAAAAATCATGAAAGATTGGTAGAAACCTCAGTTTGTTTTCATGCCATGAGTTCAAAAGATAACACCAATTCCATTTTATGAGAAAAAAAGGTCTGATAATGTTTTAAATATAAAGAAAAATGTATGGATTCTCGATTTCTGATTGGCTGCGAGCTATAACATAGTCTTTTTATGCATTTATTAGAGGTTGAATTCAAATCAAATACTGCCAAACCACCCATACTACTTCTGAATAGGATGTCTACTTCATAAATTGTATGAAAATAATGGAAATACATGGTTCAGATCACTCAAAACATATATGAAAATGGAGGCGCCCTTATATGGGCAGTAATGGAGTCTGGTGTTCACCTAGTGAAAAAGTTGGGTACTGCGCCCAAATAAAATCTTACTGAAAGCTCTTTTTTTTTTAGATTATCAACCTAAAATTTGGAACACAACTTGTTCAGATTTTTGTCTTTAATTTTCTTGCAGTTTTAGAGTAAAATATGTTTTGTAATATATATATATATTTTATATAAAATATTAATAATAATATTTTTACATTACACAATTTCATAAACTCAAACTTATATAACTTTTTTTCTGTTTCATTTTTTATCATTTCTAGACTTCTACAATAATCTGGAAAATGTCTTCTTTAAAACAAGACCAGCCATAGGTCTATATTCCAAAGCATTCCTGAATTACAACCATTTAAGTTTGGATAGTGATTTTTATGTCTATGCAAAAAAAAGGGGGTTGACAGTTAACAGGTTAATTGCCATTTTGTTTTTCAAAATATCCCTTTGCGTCACCTGGCGGCCATTTCGTGAACGACTTTGAAATGCGACTGGTTTATTTTTGCCGTGGTGACTTTGCCGCGGCAGCTAGCGCGGCGGAAATAGGCATTCTGGTTGACTACCAATTGTATACCAATCAGATAGAGTGAGGTTAAGGAATGTACAGGAGTATAAACAAATAATATTTGTTAACAAAAAGGTGAAAGGTGGAGCACTGATACTTTTGTACAGACTTACACAGGTTGCTCATCCATATGAATAAAGCCAGGAAGCAGGTAGGACAAAGTTTTGCCTGTTCCTGTCTGGGCTATTCCAATCAGATCAATTCCTTTCAGGACGACTGGCCAGGCTTGTGACTGAACCACGAGACAAAATAATCAGGATTACATTCAACCCGACATGTCAAGCTTTACATCCATTGAAAAAACAATATGGTATAAACAAACAAATGAGATAGATGTTTCTTCACCTGAATGGGAGTTGGCTTTTGAAATCCCACTCTGACAATGTTTTCCATTATTCCAGGATAGTGAGCAAAAGCCTCCTCAAATGTGCACACTGGATTGGGAATTGTTCTTTTCTCCTCGTCTTTCAAATCATCCACAAAGATGTTGTTGTTCTCTTTTCTTTAAGAGTAAAGAAAAGCAGAAGTACAAAAACAATACAAACATGCAGAGAGTAGCAATAATGCCATCTCAATAGTTTTAGATGTTTCTGATTTGTGTCAAAGAAATGAAACTGAATTCATTATCTTTTTGCAAAAAGTGATTTCTAACTTATGCTATAATGCAGCCTTTCAAGGGGGTCTCAAAATCACAAAATAAGATAAAAAACAACAACAACAAGATATTTCATATTTTAATTCACCCTCTTAACAACTGTTTGATTCCTTTTAAGAACCAGGAAAACCTGGATATATTGTTAGCCAAATTTAAAAGTACGATTGATTTCTAGACCTGGAAACTTTATGTAAAATAATAAAAACCTTAAAATGCATCAAGCATTTTTATAAAGAATATACTGTATATATATATATATATATATATATATATATATATATATATATATTACTAGTAATGCCACGTATTCAAATATTTTACCAGATAGAATTACAAGCTGAATCTATATTTTTTAATCCTTGTCCTTAAAGAGTCATGTAAATTCATCTAAATTCAAAAGAAGAAGAAAGACCAGGAACACTGGAAACTTCTGGAATTCAATTGTTTTATATTTATTTCTTCAGAAACTAAGAGTGCAAAACTATGGCTAGAGGGCCTATGAATATTTTCTTGGACAATGGAGGATCTTGGAGTGAAAGGTTGAGAACCACAGCTACATGGCTTCTTTTTAGAATTCAATTTAGTATTAAAAGAGACTATAAGAGGAAAAACAGAACATGTCAAACAACACACAAAAGAGATTGAATGTATCATAAGGGATTGATACATTGTTTTTCTCACCTAAAACATCCACATTTAAAGTCTAGCATAATTAGGATCATATATCCAGGCATGCCACAATATATTTATCTCAGATCCTTCAGAAGGTTTGTCATTAACAGATAAATGCTGCCATCTGTGGGCTAATGTGAAGAAAGCAAGTTCAGAAAACTCTTACCTCCAGATTTGGACTTCTTCTGCACTGCGAGCAGCCACTGATTTTGCTTCAATGTAGAAATCCTTCTTTAGAGTGGGAAGATCTGCAGAAAGCAAAATTATTGTTGAATCAGGTATAGAACTTATAGGCCTGGTTTCACAGAGAGGGCTTAAATTAGGTCAGGAGGATTATACCTTAGTTCAATTAGGAAATGCAAGTAGTTTTTATAACCATGCCTTAGAAAAAATAAAACAGTACATGGGTGCATTTTGAAACAAACCAAGTGCATTTTGACATTTTAAGATATGCCAAACTTGCATTTAAGTCTGGGACTAGGCTTAAGCCTTGTCTGTTAAAACAGGGGATAGAACTTTATATCTACCCATTACATGCAGTAAATCAACCAAATTTCTTAATCTAGTTTATAGGGCTGTAACGATACCCTCATGTCACGATTCGATACTGAACTCACGATACGATATTATTGCGATACTCCAAGACATATGATAAAAGGTTAACAAAAAAATGTACTGTTGATTAAAATGCTAAAATTTGATATTACATTGAGGGTGTACATGAATAGGCTTAGACTTGGTGCTAGTAACCCAATGCACCGGACAATGGTGACACCAGAATAAACATTTTCATGATTCTGAAGCTGAAAATACAGAATTATTTTAGATGAATATGCTTGCACCGTCACTGACTAGATATATTTAAAATAATGGAGGCCACTTTTTACTGGTAACATAGGACATTTGGCATTATCAAGACCATCAAATATTCCCCCATTGCATGATTATACATTATATAGTAGTTTAATGTAGTACTGACACCAAAACTCTGAAAACCTTTTATTTTGGCTGAACGATACACCATATATTGTCACTATCCACGGTACATATTGTTGCATTTTTGTATTCCGATATATTGTGACACAATATATTGTTACAGGCCCACTAGTTTACATTTTAAAGTGTGCACATAAGTGTAAATGTGTCGTATACAGGTTTGGGACAACATGAGGGAGAGTAAATGATGAAAGAACTAATCTGAAGTAATGATCACATTATCTAGACCAGAGTTTCTAGAGACTCACCTTGCCATTTAATAGCTTCATATTTGTCACGGTTTTCTCTAAGCGCAGTCCAGTCAATAGGTGCAGGAGTTGGGGCAGCTGCAGACACTGCTCGTACAGCAGAAGTTGGCCAGCATGAGTCATTCTGATATCCTGCATTGCTATTTCCTGGAGATTCAAATGTAAATGTTAAACCTAATATATCAGTAGTAGACACAGCAATAAATAAAAAAAGCACAGATTCTTGTAGCTTAGGGAATTCCATGCTCTCCAACCATTGCGGCAGCCAGGACCTCTGACAGAGTTTCCATGAACCAGATCTTCAATCATGTCTTTGGCTTTTTGCTGAGCATCACCGCTTCCAAAGATAAGCACCTCAGCTTCAGTGTCACCACGGTTTATCTGCAGATCATACATAATTCAGTGTCATGTGTTGAACTAAATTTGAAAGGATTGGATTTTTACTTGCATATGAAAATAGTCATTGCATGTTGTTCTAAACCCATATACCCAAATTCACAAAAAAGTGAATTTTCAAAGACATTTGAAAATATATGACAACCACATAGGCTATACGAAATGAATCGAATCAACATTGAGCTGAATTGGACTGAATGATGACACTATAGCTTCTTAACAGCTGATATTGAAGTTGTTTTGTAACTGATGAATTTGGCAAAATTAACAATGTTAATTTTTGGATGAATTATCCCTTGCACTTATTTTGCAAGTCCAAAGTAGCCTATTTGTAGCTGCTTTATCTGTGACGGGCTAAAAGTGGGATCTAACTTCACTGTTTCCCTGCCAGTGTTTATTTTTTATATAAGTTGCCAGTCACCTCCAGGATTTTTGATTAAAAAAGAAAAATAGAACAGATTTATCAACAGTTAAATGTGGTTAAGTTTAATTAAAAAAAGCTAACGTTACATTTTGAACAAAAAGATGAGAAAATCAAATTTTTTCTCAAAGACTATAACGTGCATAAACAATGCCTTCATCGCTTGTTTCTACTAACTTACTTCTTTAGCCTGTGTTTTACTCTTAGCTGAAGATTTTCTACTCTTTCAGAAGTTGAGTAATAGCGTTCTCTAGACTCTACCGTATTACAGTGAAAACACGAACAGTCAATGGTGGGGAAGGGTTGTCTCATAAATGACGGAAAATTCCGTCAATGGCGGGGAAAGAGTTGAGCTCTAGTGTGTAGATACATGCTCTTCTGAGCTTTCCAAATAGCAATGCTAGTGTATTTAACTTGCCTTTATCGATGCTTCACTGCTCTCTTCAAGCTCACGAATTTTAGCACCACCTCGACCTGGGCAAACAGACAGAGATACAATCACATAACGTTAGCAGTGATGGAAGTCCAACCAACTTCCCCGAATACGTCGCATAATTGAATAAATCGAATTTCTGATTCGTTTCAATCGATTCATTAAAAATAACCTGATTAGAACGCTAGATAATCGGACATTTTGAAAAACTGCTGCATGCCTAACGTTAAATGTTCCTCAGACACCTGTGTCTTACCTATTATTCTTCCCACCAAAGAGTTATCCACATGCAGAGTTACCGCTGATGAACCTGATCTGTCTCCATTACCACGGCATCCTGTAGGTCCAGAACTGGAACGACTGTAATTGCTGTTTTTGCCGACTGCACCATCACCGATATTTGATTCAAAGTCTCGGGTTCTCTGGTTTGTCCACTGCTTGCCCTCTCCACCAAACTTCGCGCCGACACTCGTGGTTTCTCGGCTCCGCGCGCCTCTTGGAGAAGGAGGCCTCGATGACTTTACGGGCACGGTTTGAACAAGTGACGGCTTTGAAATCGCCGCACCATCCGCATCGTACTCATCTTCCCAGTCCGACATTTAAAACAAACATATAAGAACACAAGTTTGAATAAACGACGCTTCCCTCCCGAAGTACCCCAAGTCAGTCGCTGATCAGAAACCTCGATCAATATCCGCTCACGTGATCCCAAATGGCAACCATGGCAACTGTAATTTACGGTAGTTACTGCTGTGAAAAAAACAAAACGAATTAATATCGGATAATGAAAAAGCTTTAAATATTTCTGTCTATCTTGTTTATTTATTGACAGTGGCAAATAATAGCAAATTACCAGGTTTGTTTTATTGTAACAGAGGCATTTTGGTGGACGACATTGTTTACGTTAACTTATGCTGTCTATTTTAAACAAATGTAATTATTTATAGAAATTAGAAAATACTCATACTAATTGATGCAGTACCTCTGCTGACAGCCATTTGGCTAATAAAGGCCCAAAAACTATTCTATTAGTAAGAGGCACACAAGACATTAACATCAAGTAGCTACACCAGGCCAAGTTTCAAGTCTTTTGTTTATTAAAGTATTACCATGATCATACATTTTTATTTAGCATTTTTCAATCACAGAGCATCAACTCTGTTATGTGCATAATGATGAAATAAATTATTCTGAATGACAGAACGCTAACGCTAACATTATCAAGCATGTATATTAAGGCCAGTTTCTGTGTAATAAATTATTTGATCTAGTGGTAAAACAAAGAATGCTGCTTTAACTGACAGACGCTTTAAGTTCACAGCCAAACAGAAAATGTGCAATTATCGAAATATTAACATAACCATTTCAATAAGAGTTTAAGGTACGAGTGCTGTTATGAATACAGTTTTATAACTGTTTAATAAAATGCAAAAAGGCACCGTAAAACATTGAATTACAAATTAAAGAAAACTTTCAAAAAATCAATAACAATAGTAATAATTATAAAGTTAAGAAGACTAATATTTCTGTACAACCTTTTTCTGCATTTCAAGCATCAATTAGTTCCACAGCTGTTGACATTTTCTCAGGTGCCTATATTATTTACCTCAACTCTAGAGCAAAATAAGCATATCAACTACCAGGATTATAAATCTTATTTAAAGCTTAATCATGTTAAAACAATTAATCACATTTGCAGGTTTCCTCATCACATCTGAACAGTTGTGCTTCCAATTGTACAGTGCCAAAAACATCCTCAATGTACACCTCAGATGCTTTTAACGAAAAGGAAAAACAAAACAAATTAACACAGCTAATCAGGATTATTCGACATACACATAACGATACGAGTTACATTCTCTAAGTTATACAGACAAGCATTTTAGCTAAAGCACTCATTGTACCATTCAGAATTATGGAATATAATTTTTTTTAGAACAGAGGTTACAAAGCTGAGGTTTATGTATAAGACGCCTGCTTGCTACAGAATTTGAGGAGGGGGGGGGGGGGGGGGGGGCTGGGTCAGTAAATACAACAGTGAGACTTTCTACTTGACATTTCTGATTAAATGGATGCAGGTTACAAAGCAATCAAAATATACGTAAAATTTAATTACAATCATTAGTTGTGATATTGTGACTGATTTATTGTCTAGATGAAAAGGTATTATCTCCCTTTTTTATTTTACATTTTAGCAGCCAAATATCTACACATGGACTCGGAATTAGTAAATTCAAAAATGGGTGCTCTTCAAAAATTCTGATTGCCACGAATATCTCCTCACAGGACTTTACTCCAAAACACACCATAACATTCCTCTAGTAACAGCATTCATCTTTCTTCAGATGCTAAGACTCTCAGGTTTTAAAGGACATGGTTAAATTAAGAAAGCTACAAATGTGAATGCATTTGTTAAAGGAGTCATAACCTGTAATTTTCACTTTTCCACGAGAATCAATGTTATGATTGCCTAACGATTATACATTGGCCGGGAAGCCGATATTCAAAAGTGAAGCGTTTGTTTACCCCAGGGTTCGTAAACCAGCCCACGTGCACGCGCACTCAAATACGAGATTTTAAAGGTGCTCTAAGCGATGTCACGCGTTTTTTAGGCCAACATTTTTTTTGTCACATACAGCAAACATCTCCTCACTAACCGCTGGCTGCCTGTCCCCTGAACACACTGTAAAGAAACGCGATCTCTGTAGACAGCCCAGGCTCCACAAACAGCAACAAAAACAAACTCCGGTGACCCGCTCCCGAAACATAACAAACTGTTCCAGCCAATCACCGACAAGAAGGGTTTGGGGGGGTTAGTGTGCGGATGAGGAGGAGGGAGGGTCTAGCTAGCCTCCGTTTTGTTTGACAATAGTTCGAACGTCAACAAGAAGTGACGTCACCCAGGATCGCTTAGAGAACCTTTAATTTCTCCCCCGACTTGACGTCAAGACGGGGCAGGATATACCATATATGGACACCGCAGACATATGCTGCAGGAAGCCCGCCCTGCCCCTCTCCCCCTCATATTCAGTCAAGAAAGATGCAGAAATGTAGTGCACACGTGAGTTGCTCTGTGGTTGACTGCCAGAATCAACATTCAAATGTGTTTTCTCTACCAAAAACGGACCAAACTACCAGGGACCAGTGGATGAAATTCATTTTTAATGACGCTGTTCCAACAACCCTATCAACTGGCTCAACGTTAGGTGTGCGCTAAACATTTTACACAGGAATCATCACGTTACATGTCTGTAGATGAAAAATATTGAATGTCTAAAAAACCACAATGTGAAACAAGGCAAAAACAACACATGATAGCAAACGTTGATCTCTATAACCACTGTAAGCTGATAAAAAAAAGTAGACTACATCTCCGTTAATGTAATCTACATTAAATAAAAGGTAAACTTATGTGGGAGAAAATAGCAACAAACGTTTTAGCTCGTTACTGATGTTAATGTATGTCTCAGTCAAAATGATTGTCTTTACCATTCAGAGACATGTTGATGTAGCAGCTAGACGTCCTTCCATTGACTCTATATCTTCCGTTTCCAGCTCTGGTTCAGAGTCTGGCTCAAACATATATGGTTGAATTCCGTAGGTCGCGGCCAGGTCGGGTTCATTCACAACTTGCGCCATGATGTCATTTTGGAATGATATGCTGAAGTTACCTGCGGTGTCAAGCCCCCTCCTTCCTGCCACCAATCAACGCGCCCCTCATTTGCATTATTAAAATGACAGTCCACGACAGCCAAAATGTCGCTTCAGATCTCGCGAGACAATAATGCATTCAAATAAGGGTCAGAGGAGCTCTGTGTTTACTTTTTTCCCACTTTTCTTTTTTAGAAGGGCCTGAAAGACTATAATAGAGCGTGGGTATCCAAGGTAATACTAGGTTATGACTCCTTTAACGGTTTAAGACCAAGACCATCTGGTTTACTGCTATTCCTCCTATAATTCTTTAAACATGCAAATGAGTGGGAAGTGAGAAATGAATCCTAATGCTGAGCGAGGGCTTATTTCTACAGGTGCATACACGCTTCCAACCCTATTTGCCTTTGCATTTTAAACATGCCGATCCCATGCAAGACTGAAAGAAGTACTCATTCAGTACCATAACTCTTCATAATTGTAAAATAATATCATGGGTTAAATACAAGTTAAGCTCAAACAACAGTGTTTATGGCATATTGTTGATGAACACAAAAATAATTTCAACATCACAACTCATTCCTTCTTAAGTTGGCATGAAATAAAAACCCTCTCTAAAAGCATATGCAGTATTATAGATTAGGGATAGCCACAATGGAAGTGAATGGAGCCAATGTAAGTGCTGTAAGCTTCACATCAATCCCTTTGTTAAAACATATATTATTTGATCTGTAAAACACCACATTCTATAATCGAACTCACACCCGTAAAACTGCATTTTCGGTGAGGCCATGCTGAATGATTGGTACTGTCCTAGACAACTAATACTTCATACATATGTGTGTCTAACATGTTGAAAGTGTTCCAGTGAGGTTTCGGTAACTTAAGAATCTTAAGTTTTAGATCCAGTCACTGTCTTACCGGAACTGCTCCTGTTAGTTTTGTGGTCTGTGCGCAACTCAAATGCTCCATTTTCAGATATAAAAGCTATTGTCTGTTAATGAAGATTTGACAGATGAACTCATGCCTCAAATGAACTTGTTGTGTGAAATTATGACTTCTATGACCATCTATGATATTACTTTAGTCACAGTTGCTGTTGTTACAGGTAACAGATTTTGATTTTATTCTAAGCTGCTGTGTGAACACGACATTTCGAGACTCACACCTTTAAGTAAATAATATACTGACAGGGTGAATGTAGCCTTAGTAGGTGATTTTTTTCCACACAAACTTGTACTGTTTGTCATGGGGCTAAACTATTGAAACCGTGAGTACTGTATATTAATGTTTACCAATTAGCCCCATTCACTTCCATTGTAAGTGCCTCACCGTAAGTATTATGCCACAAATGCTGTCGATTGAGTTTAACATATATTTCCCCAGAATATTTAATTAATGCTTCTTCCCCAACAGTTTCTCATTGATATAAATTCTCCTCTTTGACAAATTGCCCATGCAATGATATGTACGTATGAACAAAAACGTATGAACATCATGTCTTTTTCTTGTGAAAATTAGAAAACATATAGAGCGTACAAGACGCTCCATTTCCTTTGGAAAAGAAGAACATGAGGGACATGAGGTTGTGTCCAGTCTCCACAGTGAGGTTCCTGTGCTCCGGGTTTTTTCGAGTTATACGTGAGGCAAGTTTTGGGACTCGAGACTATCTCTTGATCCAGCCTGGCTGGGAGACGGCCCACTGGCTCCTGTCCGTAGCAGCTCAGAAGAGAAGGTTGTATCGTTGCTTTGTTGGTCGAGGAGGTCGCGGCCGCCCTCCGTGGTGTCCAACTCTTTGTCATTGATGAACAGCTCTGTATCGCCCCAGTCAGCCAGCGGCTCGCGGTCGCTGGACTCATTGTTGCTGCTGCTGCTGCTCCGAGTGGACAGGCTGGGATGGCAGTCCGCAGCAGTCGGTAGCATGAGGTTCTGAGCGGAAAGAGACTTACCGAGCCCACGCTCAACCTGTAGCGAGGCTGCTGCTGCTGTGGAAGACATGAGCTTTAGAGGATCAATGTCAAGGCTCAAGTGTCTTCTCCACGACCCATCTTCCTTGGAGTTGCGCTCGGGCTTGTCCCGTAGCTGTACCGTGCTTTGAGTACTCTCAGCCTCCCTGTCCAACTCAACATCGGTTTGGGAACTCACGAGGCAATTGCTCAGACTCTCTGCCCGGCTCTCCAGTAGCGTCTCTGGGATAAGGCTGGTAGGCCGGCCTTGAGGCGTTGGTACCATAGGGGGGAGCTGAAGGGTCGTTGAGGTCGAATGGATTGTTGGGACTGGCCTGGTCAGCTCACTGAATCGCTGGTGACTTCTGGAAAGGTTGTTGGGGGTGAGAATTGGAGGAGGGGACACTGGGTAGAAACTGTCCGGGCTGGAGGGTTGGTTGTTGAGAAGAGGAGAGGTTGAGTAGGAGGAGGCCGAATGTGGGTAACCAGTACCCAAGTTGAGTTCACTGGGGGCCAGAGCAAGATGCAGACCACGGTGTAGGTTACTGCTGCCTGAATGAGACACGCCGCTGCCGGTAAGCTGGGAAGATGACGACAAATCCTTGCTATGGATGGAGCTTTGGTAGTCGGAGGTCTGATCCAGCTCGAACAGTGGAAAAGCAGACAGACCAAGCATCGAAGATGAGCCTTTCTGCAACACCTGTCGGTATATATCCAGCAACGAGTCCAGCTTTGACTCAATGGACTGGACCTGTATTATAGAAGAAATGAGAAATCACATAGAATCTTCCTGAATTTTATGCTTGATTATCATAAATGAGTGCAAGTTTGGGGTTTGTATAATTTTTGTTTGTTTGTTTATGAAAGCAGTCTCTTATATTCACCAAGGCTACATATACTGTATTTGATTTAAAAAAAAACCAGTAATATTGCGAAATATTATTACAAATTAAAATAACTGTTTCTATGTTAATATATTTTAGAATGCAATTTATTCCTGTGATGCCAAAGCTGAATTTTCAGAAGCCATTTCTTCAGTCTTCAGTAGCTGCGTTTACATGGACACTTATAATCGGATTGACGGCTCAATCGGACTAAAAAACCTTCATGTAAACACCTTAATCGATCCGATTGAGCTCGATCCGATTGAAATTTTGATCGGATTGAAAGGGGTGGTTTACTCCTTTTGTAATCCGATCGAGAGAACATGTAAACACTTGATCGGATTGAAAACCGAAACTAAAAGGACTGCGCATGTGCAATGACGTTGAAATAGCGTAATGACTCCTGGTGTTCCTGGTGAATAAAGTGAATATAAATGAGTGTTCCGTTATTAAAAAATTCTCATTTCACTCAGCGTCTGTGAAGTGGAGCAGGACAGCGTCCCAGCAGTGCTTGTTTCAGACTCTCATCCATGGACGACTGGTTTTGGGCGCGGGGTTTTACTGCATGATCAATATAAGCAGCACGACAAAACGGTTCATGCTCATCGTCTCCAAATCATGACCAGAGGCGGATAAATATATTAAGTCTGCTGTTTAAAACAAATAAAGCACCAAAATAGAGGAGAATAGTTATGCGCGAACAGCAGCATATTCGTGCAGTGCGCATGTCAAAAAATCAATTCCGATTTGAATCTTGTGACATATAAACGCGCACATCAACCCGATTACTTTATTTATCGTTCATGTAAACACCGTGTTCGAATTCATCAATCGGATTGATTTCATTCCGATTGAACCATGTAAACGCAGCTAGTGTCACATGAAATCAAGATAATAGGTTTAATACTTCAGAAATCATGATAATATGTAGCCTGGCTAACGTCAGACCACGTCTCATTGAGGTCTGGGAACCACATGTTCATTTTCTCGTATTTGAGGTGTGGTTTATGAATGCCCAGAGCCGTTTATTGGGTGCTACGAATGTCTATCAAATGCGCCTGTATGTAGCTCATAGCCAATCGTTTCAATTATTCCAGATGACGTATGTAGAGCGACAGAAATTAGACGAGGAAGAAGACGATGGGTCAGAGATTTATGTGTACACGTTCTAAACTACTTAGAACAATATCTAAGGCTTCATCGAAAGGTAACTTCGCGTCTGCTGCCATGTTTGATCCATAGGTATAAACAAACTGCTTCGGTGTGTCGCATAGACGTCGTCATCGTCTTGCTGCTCCCTCCCCGTTCTGTGATTGGTTCCCTAGATGAGGCGAAAATCTGGTCCATGGAATCCAGGCTGCCTAGCAGCGTGAATAAAATCGCGCTGCGCAAAGGCAGCATGGGGAAACCCAGGCTAGATAATATGCTGATTTGGTGCCTAAAAAACATTTCTTATTATTATCAACGTTGACAACAATTGTGTTGCTTAATACTTTGTGGAAAACATGATAAAAAGTAATTCAGGATTCTTTGAATAAAAAGTTAAAATGAACACAATTTTTTTTTTTTAAATAAAAATCGTCCGTAACATTATGTATAAATAACTTTACTGTCAGTTTTTATCAATTTAATGTATCCTTGCTGAATATTAGTATTAATTTCTTTCCCAAAAAAATTAATAAAATAAATAAATAAATAAAATCTTACAGACCCCAAAGTTTTAAACGTAGTGTATGTTTCATTAGACCAAGTTAATACGGCTTACTTGTCTCTCTACTTTACAGACTCGTCCAAGCATGCTCATGTCATGTTCCAGGGACTCTCCTTCTGGGAGGATTTTCTCCCTGCCTTTCCTGTCTACCGAAATCTGACCTTTTCCTAGTATCTGATCCACCCTATGAGAAGAAAAAAAAGTGATTTTGAGCATATGTGAGGATGTACACCTTTACACTTCTGTTCCTCAAGCTAGAGCATGGCACAGCACAGCAGGATAAGACTGGACTTTGGTTAGTGAAAAAAGAAGTTAGTGCATCACCATCATCTATTTTTTCTATGTTACAAAGACAGTAAGAAAGAGATGCTGATTTATATATATATATATTTCTAAATGATATAACTACAGTCAATTCAATTGAGAATTGGATTATTTACATTTTAAATGTTAAGGATTGGCAGTATCTAATCTACCTATGGTTAAAATATTAAATTCAAAATGATACAGTAAACGACACTCCAGAGAAGCCCCTAGTGTGCAAGATTAATGTGCTAGTGAAATGTAGTTTATATTTTCAGGTGTATGATTATCCAAGTGTTTCCATGCAGAAAGCAGACTATGTACACTATTTATAATCATTCCTGGATTTCACATTTCAGTATTTGACTTTCTGTTTTTGTGTTGTTAGAAAAACTGTCTAATGCTTCCTCATCTCTCCAAATATATCATGCAAGAGTAGTTTGAGTTAAACCAACATCAATCAGCAGAACCAATTGTGTCGAGTGTGTGCTACACAAATTATAATCATCTCCTTGATTGAAAACATATCACTATTTATTAATCACCTTGAAGTCCAATGATGAAGATTATGTTTAATACATCGAAAAGTAAAGAGGTTTGTAATCCCCATATATCAATGGTTCTCAACCAGGGGGCTGGGGCCCACTAAAGGGCTTCAGCAAACTTCCAAGGGTGCCTTAAGATAGAGGTCTGCGCGGGACTGTTTTTTTCGTCCCGCTCCCGCCAGATTCTATTCCGCACATACCCGCTCCCGCTTAAAATTCACTCTGTGTTTACCAGCCATCCGCTTACAATGATTTTCTTCCTAACCCGACCGATCCCGCTAAATTTATATTTCGTTTCCAGAATCTAACATTTAAATTTCCCCTACTGAAAGAGAGAGATTTGGTATAACAAATATAAAATGTAGGTTATACAAAAATGGTAGATAATCTATTTGTTATTTTTATTCGTCTTGTCAAGATTCAAAATTCTTTTAACATTTTACTGTCAAGACAGTAGAAAAAATAATTTGCCAGGTTGCTCAGTGCAGAATTTAAAAAAAAAAAAAAAAGGTTGAGAACCTCTGCCATTTAGATTCATTGTGGATACTGATTTTGTTTACTAGGGGAATAGATGTGTAGGTATTTTCAGTTCTAATAACACATGGTATAAACCCTTTGGATAGTTTTAGTTAAATACATCATCAGCATTGGACCCAATGTACAGTATGAACTGATTGAGGTACGCATAGCCCCATGACTAGTCCCCAAGCCTTCTACAGGCCTCTGACCCAGCATGCTTCTTCTTGCTTTGGCTGTAATACAATTGTAGAGAGGGAGAGGAAAGGTTCCTGGCTTTGGTGCTGAGTGTCTGATGTGGACCCACGGCTGTGGCAAGTCTAGATGAGAAAACAATACGGGGGTCAAGTACATCTTTAAGGTTGTGCCATCAAGGAAAGGAAGGAAAGGAGGAGAGAGAAGGTCGAGGAGAAGGAGCTTATGGCACCAAGGCAAGATACTACTGATCTCAGATACATGCAGATCACATCTCAGAAACATATGAATGCCAATCAAACCAAAGGTCTCAGTAATCTAGTTTAAATTCTGTTAACTTAAGTCAGCGTTTCAAAGTCAATCGCTGAGGTTTCAACAATTTAAGCCTAAATGTCAGTTAGAGATGGTTGTTCAAATCAGAGTGGTTGATTAGACACCTGTTGGTTCACAATATTAAAGAATGACTCAATTTTATTATGCTATTCTCTGATTAGCAGCTCATTCCATGCTGGACGAAATGTTTTACAAACTGTACAAAAACAAAGCTTTAAGATACAAACAAAGATGCTAGGGAAAGCCAGGAGAAATCAATCTAAAAGTTAGTCCGATACACAGGCACATTTGTTCTAACACCATGCAGTTATGCTGGTTTAGCATTGGCCAACCTTGTTAAAACAGGAGAGAGTTCTGCATGATGAAAAACAGAGGAATCAAGGAGTTGTAGGACAGAGCAAACAGCTTGAGGCTTTGGGTCCGTGACGCATCACAAATCTAATGTGCAAAAAGCGCTTGACCGCAAAAAATATATATTGTAAAAAAAAATATATATATATAATAAAAAAAATTATATATTATATATATTCAAATAAATGTGTTCTATTTTGATACATTTTAAAATATACATCACAAGAATAAGTTAAATATTTTTTCCTGTGATGTGTGTTCAGTTTGTATGTATATATTAATGACCCTAAGCTTTTGAACAGTGCATGCATAGTGCATATATTTTTCTTATTCAGTATTTTTGCCTTTTGCATTAAACATCCTTAAATAATATTGCATAACGACATGTTTTCAGACGATATATATTGAATTTTCTTTTGAACAAAATATAGGCATCAATAAGCAAAAACTATTTGCCAATGAGCTAATAAACTTGATTCAAGATGTATTCTCTGAAAACAAGTCTTATCTTACAAAATGTATCTTGATTTAAGGATGTATTATTTTTATATAGCGTTTATCTCTGTGATGTTCATGTCCAGAAGGTAATGGTCACTAAGGATTTAGACACACAGCCTCAGCAAATGACTCATGTCTGGATGTTTCAGAGTTACATGTAAAAGGGTTTAGGATGGGGAATTGTGGGTCGGCTGACCCTGGGGCAGAGTGTTTCCTCTTGGCCTGACTGTAATACAAGTGCAGGGAAGGAGAAGAAAAGGTCTTGGCTTTGGTTCTCAAGGTCTGTGGACCCACAATGGTGTCTAACCTGAATGGGAGAGCGCAGACAGGGAGATAAGACAGACACGGATATGTAGATGTAGAAAGTATGCATAAGAAAACAAAGTTGTTTAACTATTTTCTGTACGGTGCAGCTCAATAATAGCTTTCTTTGAATATGTCTTTGAACTTACTGCATTTGTTAATGTGTATTGTGCAAGTGAGAAATGTATGCAATAAATAAATAAAAAATAATTTAAAAAAGTGTTACATAAATGTTATGAATGAATTTATAACTTTCAGTCACATGTTGAAGTTGCCCATATTTTTGCCATACAAAAAGGGCTGGTTTGTCTCACCTAGTCTGGAGACTCTTGATACGGCATAACATATCCAGGTGGCCAGCAGAGTATTGCTCAATCACATCTTTCACATCATACGGTCGCAGCGTCTCTTTAAACTTCTTCTTGGCCACATGGAATTTCATTATCCTGAAACAAGAAACAAAACTCAATTAACTTTTGATGAGAAATGATATAACACCACACTAAAACACAGGCAAATATATTAAAGGTAAGGACAAAAGGTAAGGACAAATTATGCGATATTTCATCTGTTCCCCCCATATTTTCTGTTACAAAATATATTTATTTCAGACGCAAAATAGTAATTAAATAAATAAATAAAGACTTCAGGTGACTTCAGTAAATACACCTTGATTTTAGTTTTTTTTTATTCGTTTTTTTTTTGTTTTGGATAGCTTTACACTTATTTTAAGAATAAAGCAAAAAGGTGTGGAATATGTACTTTAAAAATAAACTTTGTTCAAATTATGTATGCAGTTACTGTACATCTATAAACCATACAGTATATTGTGCATATATGAAGTCAGCTTAACACAAAACAAACCTCTTCGCAAATAAACAAGCCAGCAGGTTGTGTAAACTTGCTCATAACCCCTAGAGGGCAGAAATCAGTCACGAATATCAGAGCAGTTTATGACCCAAAGAAAAATATAATCAGATATACCTCTGCTTTAAAAACACAGTTAATAATAATATTACTCAAGTAAGGCTCATGTTCGAGTAAAGCTATGTGTGATAGATGGCATTAGCTGTGTAAACACAGGTATTACCACCAGCACACAGAAACCCAAACCTATTCTATGCGTGACATTCTTCTGAGTGAACATGGAACTGCAAATATTGACACAGAGGGGAACAAATCTCAGTGATCTGTCTCTGTAACGTCTTACAGATTCAAGCCCCTGTCAGTTTTTCTTAATGTCAGATGAGCTGATGTGTAAGCAGAACTGACTGTGAGCATGTCTATCCGACACCCTGGGAAAGAGGAGTTGGAAAAATCTCAGCCCTCCTGGGAGACCCTAATAGTAAAGGGTGATGGAAGTGAAAGAAGAAGTCACCTAAAGCAACATCTGTGGCCTTACCCAGCAGGAGAGAGACAGCAGTCATGGTCTAAACCTAATGTCTCCATCAACAGGGCAGGGAGGTCAAAATGAGTGCGTTTAACTCTGCAACCACAGTGTTAATCCTTCAAACTGTCTTTAGGGGAGAACAAAGCACTCTGGGAAGTCAAACTAACCTGACGGCCCTGATCACGGCCTTTAGTGGGGCAGACAGATCTTCCACAGTCACATCACAATGGCAACCCTTCTCATCAAAAGCATCATCCGGTCCAAGATTAGTGTCAGCTGTGTGTTTGAGAGAAAGGGAAAGAATGAGAATCACATCAAGAAGCAGATCCTCAAAAAGGCTGAAAACAAAACCAGGCTGAAAAGTAGAGAAAGCCATGGGCAGATCAATACAGCTATGAATCAAAATAGCATTCAAATCAAATCTTTCCCTTGACCGACACACACAGACCACAGGCCACCCCACTCTCCACAGAGCTGTACAGCATAAAAATGGGATTGAAGTATTGAAGTAAGCATTAAGCTGAAAGGAAAAAATTATTAGGGATGCACTGATGGCCGATACTGATCCCAATTATAACAAACAACTACTGGCCGATTCCGATATAACTTTTGTAATTAAAATAGATTACTGTTTTGATCCTGTTTTAAATAAAGTAAAAAAAAATGCCTCCATTAAAGTACAGTAGCTAGTTTATTGCTGCATCATCAAATCATCTTTACTGAATATGGATTGGATCCATTTAAAAAACAGACAGCAGGCTGCTGTCACTTTATGAGTTGCACGGATCCAGTATACTGATACATGCAGAGGTGTGTTTATTTATTTTTATTAATTGTTTACGTTCACTTAAGCCACAACTGACTGCGTTTACTTGGATACTCGCCAAGATGGGCATTTTGATACAATTTTGTGTGAATTTTACCATTCCAGCGCAAGAAGCAGCAAAAGAGAACTCAATTCAGTATTTGCATGCTGTCTGAGACACGGCTTTCTGGGCGCACGCTATGGATGTGTGCGCACACAAAACTTCTCACACAGCGAGTACCAAATTAAGTTCTCTTTTGCATCTCCTTGCGCTTGAATATTTCATTTGGCAAGGCTTAAAAACATAAGCAAAGGATAAACTTTCATGACGCCCTATAGGGAAAATGACAGTTCCGACAGTTGTCCCGAGCGTTGTTCCCACTGGCACCTGGCAGTCCATATTGTCGAGCCCTGCTATATTTTGTATAGGTTTAATTTTGTTTTGGCAACTATTTAATTACTTTACCCAGAGAAAAAAACTTTAGATTATGAAACAGACATGATACAACTCAGTGCCTTCCCGCAGTTAATCAAAACTATCAGTATTTTGCATGCTATAGCCGATGGTTTTAAATTGATCTATATATTGATATATAAATCCTATATAACTTAAATCCACTGAAAGTCAAGTCACTTTAGATAAAAGCATTTGCCAAAATGTGTAAATCAAAAACAAAAGGAAACAGATCAAAGATGCTTGTAGAATGAACAAATTCCTCCATTTAAACTGTGTGTGATGCCTGACCGCATCAGCATTTGTAGTACATGACACAGATAAATGCTGCCTAGAAGAGAGATTGCTATCAAGATGTGAAGAATTGCTTTCCCCTTTGCTCCCCTGTCTTATAAGCTATAATATGTGGCGGATCTATAATGCGTGTATAAGAGTATGAAGCCAGTGTGTGGTAACTGCAGGTTTGAGATTAATTTTGGCTTGATGGGTCTCACACAGGGCTGAAACTAGTTTGCTGCGGACACTCAGATGCTACCTTTGCAAATTCTGCTGAATTGGGCTACCTTTGTTAAAATGACACACTTGACTTTCTCAGAATTGTTTACATGTTTTCCAGTACAAATATCTACACATAAGATACATTTACTTGAGAAGCAAAATGACTGAAGATATAAAGTGCTTTCTGAAAAATGTACTAAAATTAAATCTTTTTTTTCTTCTTGTTTTAAGCATAAACTCACAAAATGTCAATCATTTAAAATGTTTCCTTTTTCAATATAATATTATAATATATGAAATATATAATATATGAAAAAAAGATTTGTTTCTACTTCCGTTTCATCGCGACTTTCATGCGGTCACCTTGGACACATAACTTACCATATCTGCTGGAAAAAAAGATCTAAATGTTTTACTTGCTGTGATGTGGGCCACATGGATCATCATTGTTCAACATAAAAAAATTCACAAACATCTGTTTTCACATGAAAATTCACTACTTTGACAAAGGCCAATGAACAGAAAAATTGTGGTAACGCTTCCTTTTACAGTCCTTTTACCCATGTACTTACTATGTACTTATTATAGTAATTATAATTACTGGGTAATAACTAGGTACTACCCCTGAACCTACCCCTAACCCATGTACTTACCTTATATTAGCCAGTACTTTCTAGGTAAGTACACTGTAAGTAGAAGCAAGTACTGTACTGTAAAAGGAAGCGTTACCAAAATTGTATTGCAATATGTTGAGTTGTTGGTTTTAAAAGTTTTGCTAAAGATTTATTAAACAGATTACTAAACATTCTCACTATGTTTTCTTTTCCCATGGGACCATGGGTTCTCGGCCCTTTGTGACAGACGTACAGTATTCTGTCAATACTGAATACCCTCCTATAAACAATGTCTCTATCTCTGCTTTGCTCTTTTCTTCCCTGAGGGGCATTCTGGTGATGGGAGCATGAGCCAAGGATAACTAGTGCAAACAGAGGGTCCCATGAGAGACCATGTTCTCCCACTGCAGCCCAATAGTGTGTGTAAATCCTGCCTTCAGGGATAAATCCAGAAAAACACCAATAACAATAAGGTATATAGGAAAAGACTCATTCTTATTTCTAAAAGGGCCAAATGGTGTGAAGACTCAGATAACAGGGGGAAAAAAAACTTGCAAACAAAATGAAGTAATTATTTATTTTTTTGTTAAGTATATAAACCCCAGGAATGATTATAAGCTAGTAAGAACTTATACAAATTTGCTTCTGTAAGTACAGTAAAAGAGGAAAATCAGTGATTTGACCAATCAAAAAAGAGTTTCACCTTCAGTCGTTGTGCGAGACTGGCTCTTGAGTCTGAGTGATGGACGGAAGCGTGTTCGGTCATTGAAGCTCCAGCTCTTCTGGACCTTGGCAGGGCTGCTGCCCTCCACACCCACCTCTGTGCCAGGAGAGCGTCTGTCGTTCACTGACGTCTGTCTGCTCTTTACGCTCTGACCACGAGGACTGGCCATCCGCACACGCTCACGAAAACTTAACTTTTGGCTGCAGGAGAGGAAAGAGGAGGGATGGAAGTGGGAAGGGACAAATAAACAGAAAAATAATTAAACATGGAATGGAGAGAAAGAGGTATTTAACTAAAGTTTGGTTAAATAAAAACAGCTGTGATGGTTTATTTTGGACCTGCAAGCTTCCTTTCCTCAGTTTTTTTTTTACCAGATTCCTCCAGTAAAACAGTACTTTTTTTTGTCATGACTTAGATCTTACTTGGATTTCCTTTGCTGAAGCCCCATAAACTGTATTATACTTAAATTGCATCAAAAGAATATCATGCAACACAAATCCCATTCCAAAGTTTGCACCAATCAGCAAGCAACTTTTTGAAGCATGACTCTCTGTCCACCCTAGTTCTGTTGCTACCTTCAATGTGGAGCAGCCTGACAACATCTCCATAAGCCGCCTTTCTAGGCCTGACGTAGTGGCCCGGAGAGGCATGTCATAATAAACAGTTTATGTGCAAAGCAACTATATACATATGTCATCAAAGACAACAACTCCATAAGCTGGGGTTCTTAAATCATGCTGGATATATACATAGTACACTGTGCTTTTTAGCTCATGCTTAGTAGTTTGTGTGTGAAAGAGATGTAGTGTAAAGGAGAGTGGAGACATAATGCTGTAAAGATGATTTACTGTACAATAATACAGAGCCAAAGTTCATGCATATGCAACATGCAAGTTTATGGCTAATGTGTTTAATAGGTAGGATGCAAACTGAGACATATACAGTACAGTCATAGATATCCTTCATAACTGAACTGAACCTTTAAAACGGTTTGATTCAATCATTATTCCTGCATATATTACAGTATGGGATGCTGGTACTGTAGTTTAAAGGTAAAACATTATTTTCCAACATGGATGTTACATATACTACATAACAATTATATCTGTAAAAATGTATATTGTAGAGTAATTGCTGCATGTCAGATAGGGGGTGTTGGATAAATCAGTCAGTGGCAGTTAAATCCTTCAGGCAACAGGCACAGGACCCTCATATTAAACCCTCTGTAGGGTCTGTAAGGGGCGGGGTGGCCCTCATCATCCATGCATAAGGTTAGTCAGCATTCACATTGGTCATATTCCTGGAGCAGTGGGGGATGCTGGGTACCTATATATCCGTGTGGTATACCTCCTGAAGAGCCTCTGTCTATTACTATGACCCTTACTATGGAAATGAGGGAGACAGATGGTAGATGAGTTAGTTAGACTGTGAGCAGAAACATCTTCCTTAAGTGGAAGAATTATATGGATAGTGCAACACAGAAACAGAGCCACTACTTGGTAGTAAATATGGAGCAAAGTGCAAAATAAATTGGTGTGTTTTTGCAACCAAACATGGTAATAAAAAGTTGAATTAGTTTTGAATTACTTTAGAAGTGCACCAAACCACACATACTCACAAAGACACCCACACTAGAAGTATATTCACATAAACAGTGTACAAAACCTGTCTAACAAGCAACTAACTTTGACAAACGTTTTTGGATTTGTTGGTTAATTATACATTTTTTTTCTGTAAATATTTAATTCTTTTCACTCTATCCAGTACAAATGGATTATGTGGATTGTGGATTATACCTAATGTTTCCTTAAAGACTTCGTGTTCGTCCATTTACTGTATAAAGTTCCACAAGCTATGAAAAAAGTATTCACAGCTTAGCTGCTTGCTGTAATGCCTTTGCAATAGGAAGGTTCATTTTCCATCATATTTAATGACACATTTGCCACACACTGTGAGCTTTTCCAACTGTAAACGACTTCATTTAAGTCTGAGCACTGGTGCTCCGCTCTTCACATATCTAATATGAACCATGCAAACATCCAATTCCAGCACTAATTGAAAGTGTGAGGATACAAATAAGGAAAAGGCTTTGGGTGCAACCATTATTTACAAGCACTGAGCAATAAGCTCCACTCCTGATGGGATTCTATGAGAATTAAAAGACAAAACATCACCAGCCTGACTAAAAACATCTGACTACACTATGGCCTTGCAGATACGACGGTCTTTAATGCATATAAACAACATTCAGATTAAAAACAGAACTCAATGCATGCATATTTCCTGACTGCAGTAATATTTATTGGTCAATATAAACAATATCTAAATGGTAACAAGTGCATCATGTTATATAGTCCATGTAGACAAAGAAAAGTAGGCTAAAGTACTGTACAATATTATAGAAAGAGATCTGACTGCATGTGCACACAGTTGCGCGCGCACACACGCACATACATTTTAGTACAGATGGACACCGTTGTGTCTATTCACAGTGTCTTGTACACTCACTCAAGGCTCTTCTTTGAAAGTTAGCAAAGAGAAGCTGCTCCACATCTAAACTACTATTCTATGACTTAAACGGCTTTCTGGAACACCTGATTCTGACTAGACAATTGCTGCTAATGCAGTAGTGAAACTAAACCACTAAACTATATTTGTCTGTTGTCCAAAACAACATACTGGTGCTACTTACATGTTTCACCCATCACTCTCTGGTTTCTCTATAGCTAGAATATTTATATATATTAATACATTTATATATAACAATATATTGGTCAACTCACTAAAACAATTATATGTTATATTAATAATATATGTATTAATAATATCTGAATTCAATTATACTTCTGTTCAAAAGACTGGGGTAATTTATATTTTTGCAACAAAGGTTGCATTTATTTGCTCAAAAATACAGTTAAACAGTAATATTGCGAAATATTATTACAAAATAAGCACAAATGTCAGAGCATGTCAGAACACCTCCAGGACCCAGAAAACACCTCAGACCGCAGAGGGTTAAAATAAAATTTTTCTATTTTGATATATTTTAAAATGTAATTTATTACTGTGATAGCAAAGCTGAATTTTCAGCATCATTACTCCAGTCTTTAGTGTCACATGATCCTTCAGAAATTATTCTAATATGCTGATTTGGTGCCTAATTAATATTCTGTATTATTATCATCGCAGTTGAAAATGCATCATTACTGAATAGAAGTATTAATTTCTTTTTTTTTTAAACCTCACTAACCCTTTAAGCTATAATATAAAAGTAAGATAAAATAAAATATAAAATATATGTCATGTCCATGAATAATAAGAGAGACAATATAATTAGCTTTACACGGGGATCCTGATCATCCTGTCTTTATTTTGTGATAATGAGCGATGACTGTACATACCATATACAGTATACTATAGCTACTACTTCAAATAAAGGAAAATCAGAGGGAATGAATGATAAAGCAAGACATGTAACATGCCATGACTGAATGGACTTAATTCTTCTCCCTATTCCTATTGAAGCCATGGAAGCTGAAACACAATCGATACTCAAGAAAGTAAGACATTTCAGACACTAGGATGATGTAGATACGAGAACAACAAACCTGCTGATGGATTCCCCCTGGTCTTTCCTTCAGGTGTTAGTTAAAAAACAGAGAGAAAAGAGGCAGGATATTAACACTTCACATGAATGACAGAAACTAATAAGGAGACTACAGAAGAGACACAGATGCCTCTGAAATATACTGAGTGATTCATTTTGGGAATGACACACCAATATATTTCACACTGTGTCACACAAAATACAGTTTAAATGTTAAAAAAGGAAATTTAACATAAGTAAGCCTCAGCACACACACACACACACACACGTTAAGAGTAGAAAGAAATGGAGAGTCTTTTTTAAGACAGTATAAACAGGCAGCAAACAAGCTGGCATGCAAGCTATGAGCAATGCACAGTCAAGCTGACTAAGACGAGCGCTAGCAGAGGGACAGCTGTGTTATCAAGGGCTGTTTAGTATGTAATTACTCAAGAAATTGGCCTTAATACAACAGAACACCCATTTGTCAGATCATTGTCGTGTGTCTGTCTTCAGGTGTCTGTCCACAAACTGTCCTGGCTTCTGTGTGATGTGATTTATCTATTCTTGGCAACGAAATTTCAGTTAGCCACAGGATCTACACAAGGAAGCAGGTGTGAGTCTGTGGCTCTCATCCAAACTGAAACTTTGACGCTTCAGTTATACAGAAGGCTTGTGTTCCCAGTAAAAAACTGAATCTTGCTATATACATATGGCTGTGAGGTATTTCAGTAACTGTAGGCCTACTTCATTAAGAATTATTTGGGTAATATGTATTAACTAAAGTTTACTATTATTTAATATCACAAAGAGATGTCTCATCAGTCACCACCACAGTCTTTGACCTAAAGCAATACATTATAGTTATAACTGTTGTCAAAGACTGACAAACTTGATTTGAGTGTTAATACAATGAACACGTGAATGAATATATTACCTTCTATAAACAACACTATTCCATTGTCAAAGAACTATAAAATCATCTGATTCTGAAATTTAAGTTTAAAAATTTCAAGTAACGTATTGTTCTTTTTTTTAATAACTGAAAATTTGACCATTTAGAATAGTTGAGTTTTTATTAAAGACCCACTCCGATGAAAATAATGTTTTTCTAGGTGTTAACATGTTCTTGTGGCATTTTTCTGATGTTAGAGGACATACCTTGAGAAAAATAAGCTCAAAGTTGTATTTCTGAGTATTTCAACATTCAAATGGCTGTGAATCAGTAGCAGACGCTAAAATGCCGGCTAAAATAGACTGGAGTTGTGACGTAGTAACTCCACTGGGCGTCTCCACACGCGACGTCTTGGAGTGAAATAATGATCGGTGATCGGTGATATCTTTGATTAACTTCGAAAAATAATAATTAACGTGTATATAATACTGTTGCCCCACCGGTATTGGGGGTGTAAGCTAGCGGGAGAGACAGAGCTCTCAGCAACGGGCAGGGGGAGGGTCGTCTCCGTGCCAACGGCTCCGCCCACAACGCAGAGGCGAATTGCTAATGAGCTACTGCCGCTCTGCTGAAGCGAAGTCCCAGAAAACGGCACAGGTTTTGTGATTTTGGCTAAAAATGGCATAATCATATTTTAAAGACCACTGGGAATGTTTAAAAATAGCTCAAAATATGATCGGAGTGGGACTTTAATGAAACCAAATGTATACATATCTACAGTTTGGTAATTTCAGCAATCTATGAAAAAGACCATGGAATAAAATAACATCTAAGTTAACATCTCACTATATTCAGACTTCAAAACTGCAAGTTTCTGATGTCATGTACTGCAATTAAGAGTTTAAATCTCACAATTTTGAGCCACCCCTTAAAAGATATATAAACTCTAAGAGATATAAAAAAAATTCTTACATATAAACTCAGAATTCTGACAAATAAGCCTGAATTGCGAGATACAAACTCGAAGTTCTAAGAAAAAAGTCTGAATTGCAAGATAACTCCAAATTGAGAGATCTAAACACATGAAGTGAGAAATAAAGTCAGAATTGTGTTATAATGCAATTCGAATCACAAGAACCTATTATTTTTTTTCCATTCAGTGGCAGAAACTGCTTCAATAGCAATACATTTCAAAAGCTGAGAAATAAGTTTATTTTCCACTTTGAAATATTATTTTTAAGTTTTGACAAAGTAACGTCTCGGTTACATATGGTAACCCTCGTTCCCTGAGGGAGGGAACGGAGACGTAGGTCAGACTGACCAATAGGAATCTCGCTAGAGAGCCAATCTACTTCGAGTGAAACTAAAACAAGCCAATGCACATTGGCATGCAATCATTTGCATCAGCTGCGCGTCCTCGTCAGCGCGGGTATTTAACAGCAGCTGTTATGATTGCACACTAGTTTTTTGCTGAGGAGCCAAACCTGAAAAAGCTGGCCCCACGGCGGGCGGCAGCAGATGTGGCGACGGGACCTACGTCTCCGTTCCCTCCCTCAGGGAACGAGGGTTACCATATGTAACCGAGACGTTCCCTATCGGTCAGTCACTACAACGTAGGTCAGACTGACCAATAGGAATCCCTACCAAAGCGCCACAGCTGCTGCACCCCATCCAGCGCCCCATGCAAGCCTCTACACCTTCTTGCCTAGAAGGACGATAGGAGGAGGCTACACACAGAGTGTATCTGTTACTGTTGTTCCGTAATAACCCATACAGTGAGATTATTGGATAACACTGGGAAAGCGTGCCCTTCAGTTAGGAAGGAGGACGCTGCGGAAGCCACATACTTCAAGGAGTTATGTGGGGAATACATACGGACTAGCCCGAAGGCTGTACTACATATGAGATAGTGGGTGACTTAGCCCAAGGGAAAGACACGGGCTTCCGTTAGGAGCAGCCGTGGAATTATACACATATGGGATCCCCGTAGGGTCACACATATGGAACCCAGCCCAGATCCGGTTCTCAAGGATTCAGCGGATAAAGGCCTGGCACCTGGACGCTCCGCCATGTCCGGGCCGAGGGGTTTTTGGAGGACTCAACAGGTTTTTCACTCTGGAGCAATAAGGGTGCACAGTAGGGTGCAGCAAGCCGACAGAGCCGGGCCTCTCGGTGCTTCTACCCGTTTAGGGTGAGAACACGGGAGGAGACCGGCTCTACACGTAGGCTATAATATCTAGCGAACGTGTTAGGTGTCGCCCAGCCCGCAGCTCTACAGATATCTGTTAGCGAGGAGCCACGTGCCAGCGCCCAGGAGGATGCAACGCCTCTCGTGGAGTGTGCATGCAACCTGAGCGGGCAGGGCACGCCTTGAGCTTGATAAGCCAAGGCGATGGCATCCACTATCCAGTGGGCCATCCTCTGCTTGGAGACAGCCTTTCCCCTCTGCTGGCCTCCGTAACAGACAAAGAGCTGGTCTGAGGTCCTGATGCTTTGAGTTCTGTCCACGTACATACGCAGAGCGCGAACGGGACAGAGCAAAGCCAGGGCTGGGTCTGCCTCCTCCAAAGGCAGCGCTTGCAGGTTCACTACCTGGTCTTTGAAGGGAGTGGTAGGAACCTTGGGCACATAGCCAGGCCGGGGTCTTAGTACCACATGGTTGTCACCCGGCCCGAACTCTAGGCACGATTCGTCGACCGAAAATGCGTGCAGGTCTCCTACCCTCTTGACAGAGGCCAGTGCAACCAGCAGCAAAGTCTTCATGGAAAGAAGCTTTAAGTCTACTGACTGCAGAGGCTCAAAGGGAACATCCTGAAGTGCTCGAAGCACCAGGGAAAGATCCCAAGAGGGTATGGAGGGGGGTCGAGGAGGATTTAATCGTCTCGCCCCCCTAAGAAACCTGACGACCAGGTCGTGCTTCCCCACTGTTTTGCCATCTATGTGGTCGTGATAAGCTGAAATAGCGGCAGCATGTACTTTGAGGGTGGAGGGAGACAGCCTTCGCTCCAACCCTTGCTGCAAGAAGGAAAGCACAGACCCTATCGAACATCTCCGGGGGTCTTCTCGGCGAGAAGAACACCACTCGACGAACAGGTTCCACTTCAGGGCGTAAACACGTCTCGTGGACGGCGCCCGTGCTGAAGTGATGGTGTTAAGTACCTCAGGGGGTAAGTCACCTAGAACCTCCGCGTCCCGTCCAGGGACCAGACATGGAGTTTCCAGAGGTCTGGACGCGGGTGCCATAGGGTGCCCCGTCTCTGAGTCAGAAGATCCTTCCTCAGAGGAATGGGCCAGGGAGGGACTGTCCCAAGGAGCATGAGTTCTGGGAACCAAGTCCGGGTGGGCCAATAGGGAGCCACCAGAAGGACCTGCTCCTCGTCCTCCCTGACTTTGCACAGTGTCTGTGCAAGTATTTGCGGAGGCCCCGGGGCCAGCTGTGTGCCAGTGCGTCCGTGCCGAGTGTTCCCTCGGTCAGGGAGTAAAACAGCTGGCAGTGGGAGGTCTCTGAAGAGGCAAACAGGTCTACCTGAGCCTCTCCGAACTCTCTCCAGATCAGCTGAACCACCTGGGGGTGGAGTCGCCATTCTCCCGGAAGCACAGCTCGTGATAGCTCGTCGGCCACACGATTGAGCACGCCAGGGACATACATGGCTCGAAGCGACCTCAGACGCTTCTGACTCCAGAGGAGGAGATGGCGGGCGAGTTGCGACATGCGACGGGAGCGTAGACCACCTTGTCGGTTGATGTACGCAACGGTCGCTGTATTGTCCGTACGGACTAGTACGTCCCTGCCCTGTAGCGACCTTTTCAAGCGGCTCAGAGCGAGATGTACTGCTAGCAACTCGAGGCAATTGATGTGCCAATGCAGTTGGGGCGCCGTCCACACCCCTGACACTGCATGCCCGTTGTACGTGGCACCCCAGCCGGTGGCGGAGGCATCTGTGAAAACCACAGCATGCCTGGAGACCTGTTCCAAGGGGACTCCTGCCCGAAGGAACGAGAGGTCTGACCACAGGCTGAAGGTCTGGCGGCAGGCCGGTGTGATTGCCACCCGGTGAGTGCCATGATGCCACGCCCATCTCGGGACTCGGCCGTGAAGCCAGTGCTGAAGCGGTCTCATATGAAGCAAGCCGAGCGGAGTTACCGCTGCTGCCGCCGCCATATGCCCCAGGAGCCTCTGAAAAAATTTCAGTGGGACCGCTGTCCTGCCTTTGAACATGTTCAAACAGTTCAGCACCGACTGAGCGCGCTGCTCTGTGAGGCGCGCTGTCTGTGCGACCGAATCCAACTCCATACCGAGAAAAGAGATCCTCTGCACAGGGGCGAGTTTGCTCTTTTCCCAGTTGACCTGAAGGCCCAACTGGCTGAGGTGCGTGAGCATGAGGTCCCTGTGTTCGCATAACTGATCTCGAGAGTGTGCTAGTATAAGCCAGTCGTCGAGATAGTTGAGGAGGCGAACGCCCTGTTCTCTCATGGGAACAAGGGCCCCCTCCGTGACTTTCGTGAAGACACGGGGAGACAGGGACAGCCCAAAGGGCAGGACCTTGTACTGATATGCTCGACCCTCGAACGCAATGCGCAGAAACGGCCTGTGTCGAGGAAGAATCGAGACATGAAAGTACGCGTCCTTCAGGTCGATCGCTGCAAACCAATCTTGGGGACGGATGCATCCGAAAATGCGTCTCTGCGTGAGCATTTTGAACGGTAGCTTGTGGAGGCTCCGATTCAAAACTCGCAGATCCAAGATTGGTCGTACCACCACCTTTCTTGGGTACAATGAAGTAGGGACTGTATTGCCCTGACCTCATATCGGCTGGAGGGACCGGCTGGAGGGACCGGCTCTATCGCGTCCTTCGCCAGCAGGACTGCGATCTCCGCACGCAAGACATGGGCATCGGCTGCTCTCACTGTAGTGGAGTGGATGGCCCGAAACTTGGGGGGGGCGCCGGGCGAACTGAATCGCATAGCCGAGCCTGATGGTCCGAATGAGCCAGCGAGACGGACTGGGGAGCGCTAACCAGCCTCTCAGAGACCGTGCAAGCGGGACCAAAGGGACCGTAGGCGTACCCGGAGTGGGGCAGCGAGGTGGAACACAGGGACGCGGCTCGGGAGGCTCTCTCTGGGAGGCGGCCTGTAGCAGGGTCTGTGTGTGCTGTGCAGCACTTACCTGGTTCCACGGGGCAGGAGGCGGCTCGGTGGCGTTCTCGAACTGCGCACTGCTGCTCACTGGCGACAGAGGAGGCGGATGAGAGTGGTGAGGATTCTGTCCCCCCATTGCTCTCCGGGTCCTCTTCGGACCCAGAGATGGTAGAAACTGCTCTTTTATTGAAAATTTGGGTACCGCTGGTTTTAAGGCCAGCGGCGGAACACAAACAAAACGAAACACAGGATTTTCCACCCGGCCCTCTTCCGGGGGAGGGAGCGATGCGGTCATCGTCTCCTGGAGAGCAGTCCCTTCCATCTCCGGGTCGCCCGTCCTGGGGCCGCTTACCTCTGGCTTTGCCACCCTTCTTGGCGGGGGCCTGGACGGGCGGGGCGGCCTGCCTGCGACTGGCTCCACGGCGCCGTTTACGTGGAGGCTGCTGCTGCAGCGCGGGAGCAGGGGCAGACGCAGGAGGACGCCCCCGGCGACGAGCAGACTGAGGAGCCGCAGGCGGTGGGTTGGAGGCAGCAGCTGACCGCCGCGGCAGGATATGCTTGATGGCCTCAGTCTGCTTTTGTACAGCCGAGAACTGCTGGGCGAAGTTCTCGACCGCGTCGCCGAAGAGGCCGGTCTGGGACACGGGGGAGTTGAGGAACCGGAGCTTCTCAGCCTCACTCATGTCTGCCAGACACAGCCAGAGATGGCGCTCCTGGACCACCAAGGTGGACATCGCATGACCCACTGACCGCGCGGTGACCTTCGTCGCACGAAGCGTGAGGTCCGTTGCGGCACGAAGTTCCTGGAGAACTTGTGGATCATGACCACCCTCGTGCAGGTCCTTCAGTGCCTTGGCCTGATGGACCTGCAGCAACGCCATGGCGTGCATGGCAGAGGCAGCTTCCCCACAGGCCTTGTAAGCCTCGTCGAATAGGTCCGACGAGTACCTACAGGCCCGGGAAGGAAGACACGGTTCTCCGCGCCGAGTGGAGTTAGGGCACAGTTGCATAGCAACGGCCCGTTCCACTGGCGGGATGCGCGTGTATCCCTTAGCTGCCCCGCCATCAAGGGTGGTGAGGGAGGAGGAGCCACCGGAACGGTTTCTGGCAGTAAAAGGTGCCGTCCACGTTCCCGTAAGCTCCTCATGCACTTCCGGGAAGAAAGGCACTGGGGTGGGTTGCTGAGAACCAGCGCGCGCCACCCCGAGATACCAATCATCCAACCTCGAAGGTTTGGGACACGGTGGAGGATTCCACACGAGCCCGACCCCGTTGGCGGCCCGGGAGAGCATGGCCATCATCTCCGGGTCCGTCTCAGGCACCGCTGGCACCCCCGAAGGAGGCAGCGGTGCCGAGTCGTCGTCCGCAGAGCGGTCTGACCCACCCTCCGATGCAGCGATCGACATCTGGTCACTGGGAGCCCCAAAGGAGACAACCGGTACACACCTCGAGAATGGTCCAGCTCTCTCCAATGGAGGCTCAACTGGCTGCGGAGCATGAGAGGGGTGAGGGCTCCTAGGGGGTTGGTTCCCCGAAGGAGACGCGCTCACCGTGATCCTCAGGTCACCCGCGCCACCGCCTGAAGCAACCCTCTGAGGAGGATTGGATCGAGGCAGAGGCACGGGGACTCCGCCCCTTTGCAGGAACAAGAGTCTCGACCGTAGCTCCGCGATGGTCATCTTCCCACAATGGGTACATGACTCATCCACAAACGCTGCCTCAGCGTGTTCAATGCCCAGACACACGAGGCAGCGTTTGTGATCATCCTGTGAGCCCAGGTAACGACCGCATCCAGGAAACACACAAATAGAAAGTCATCTTTTTCTTTTTAAAAGACGCTCTCTATTTGTGTAAGCTCTTTTAGGGACTGCTCTCACTGGTGCTGAAACACGCAGGGGAACAGTCACTGCGAACACAGACAGGAATGTGCACCTGTCTGTGCGCGATCTCTCTCTCTCTCTCTCTCTCTCTCTCTCTCTCTCTCTCTCTCTCTCTCTCTCTCTCTCTCTCTCTCTCTCTCTCGCTGTCTTACCAGCTGTGAAAATAGCTTTTGAGCGCTCGTACGGCGCACCTTACCAGCTGTTACAACAGCTTTTTGGTTTTGCTCAACACACCACAGACAGGAGAGAGAAATAGAAGACTGCTCGCGCTGCCGTGCTGTAACGCCCGCACCGGGAAGGAGAGGTCCAAAGAAGAGGCTCGTAGTCACACTCTGTAGAATTAAACATGAAGCGTTTGGCTCCGAAGCAAAAAGCTAGTGTGCAATCATAACAGCTGCTGTTAAATACCCGCGCTGACGAGGACGCAGCTGCATGCCAATGATTGGCATGCAATCATTTGCAGCTGATGCAAATGATTGCATGTCAATGTGCATTGGCTTGTTTTAGTTTCACTCGAAGTAGATTGGCTCTCTAGCGAGATTCCTATTGGTCAGTCTGACCTACGTTGTAGTGACTGACCGATAGGGAACCATGGTTAACTTGGTATAAATTCTATGTATTTTTGACACCTGGCCATGTCCCTTTGCTAAGTGACTTAATGAGTCTTTAAAAAAGCTTAAAATATCTAACAAGACTATGGTAGGGTACACAGGAGATAATTATGCTTAGGAAGAGAGACAGATTGAGTGAAAACAGTTTATTTGCTGAGGGAAGTGGGAAAATGAGAGCTACAGAAGCACTGACACCAAATACGACACCAGCTGCCAGAGTTGTACCTACTTTGTAGGGCTGCAGGTATGCAACGCCTTCAAATGAGGCTTCCAGGTAGCAATGGAAACCGAGTTCTCATCAGCCGCATAGCTACGCCACACACACTACGTGCAGAATATACAAAACCAGAAAAATAGGGAGGGAAATGAGGAAAGAAGAAAATAAAAAAGATAAATACACAAGGCCAGGAAAAAGCAGGGATTGGAAAAAAAAGGAGAACAACAAAAGGAAAAAAAAAAGATTAGTAACAACCGGTTCATGTAAGCGCTCTTCCATCAGTTCACTGCATAGATACATGCCTTTGAGGAGGGAGAACACTTTTATAGAACAGCCATGTGGCACTCAGGTATGTTCTGGAGAGGTCTGTGGAGTAGAGACGCCACGCAGCCTGGTGCAGGAGACAGACACAGACACACACACACACACACACACGGGGACACGGGTGGAGAAAGACAATAGCATGGTGAGGGAACAGCCAGTGAATCACTGATTGGGCTCAAGACATTTCTTCAAACCACTGATTTCATTTTGTTAAAAATGCTGCAAAATGTCGTATTTTGGGGTCCAAATGTCTGAGATCACTGGTATGAAATACTTTATAAAAAATAAAGTTGAATTAAACAATTTAAATTAATTCATTATTTTGTCAGTATTTGGTATGTCTCTCTTTTGCTTTAATAACAGTAGCACTTGAGCTGCATGAACTTCACAAGTTTATGTAAAACCTGACACTCATATTCTGCAGAATTATTTGAGAATGATCCGAAGAGCATCTTGAGCTCCAATGGAATCTGTCCAGAGAGTCACATGATCATAATCTCACTAATTTGCTAAATATTTCTTATTCATTTTATGTCATAATGTTTCATTGTTTCAATTTTCTGAAATACTAAAACTTATTTCCAAGATTAAATTACAGTATACTTTTTTTATTCCAGATTTTGGACAAATAAATTGCGAACATAAATTTCACATGTTCCATGTCCAAAATGAGAGTGGATTAGTGTTGAATAAATGTCTTGATGTCTTGGTGGCACATACAACATCAAAACAGCCAGGGGACTTAAAAGTGATGTGGTGAATGAAAAGAGGCATACATCATCCAGTGAAAAGAGTTTATATGCAAATATGTGTTTATAAAGCACAATCCTTTTAAAATATATGTGTTTTTAAAGTAACTCATTTTACCTAAACAAGTGCAAACCTTTGTTTGTGGCCTCATATGTGTTAATATGTGATGTTTATGTGTGGCCATCTTGCATTAAAATATACTCAGCATTATTTCAATCAACAAAATTATATAATATTTATTATCAATATTTGGATAAAATTTCAATTCGACATAAAACCCTGCTTGCATTTAATTTCTTCTGAATTTGTGATGTATATAAGTGAACTGAAAAAAATGTGGGTGCAATTTATTCATTGTAAATTATAATGATTATTAGAATGAAGTAAGACTTGAATGTGAATTTAAGAAAACAATACCTAAATTGATATTTGACTACATTATCCAATCATGACCTATTGGAAAGTGGTTGCTCGGGAAGAAGTCATTTTCATAAAAAAATACAAAGACAAAATTTTTTTTTGAATAATGTGAACTGGTGAATCATTCACAATAAAACAAGGAATATGCATTATGGAAGTTATTGTTTCATGCTGACTTATAATAATGTGATAATGGATGGAGTTGTATGTGTTAAGATGAGTAACTGCTTTAAAAAACAATAAGCAAGAAACAGAAGACGTGTTGTGAAAAGGAAAAATATCACAAGAGTGAAAGCCTGAAGAAGGTGCTCTCAAATTGCGTGACAGGAGTGAGGAGGGAGGGGATATTTTCCATCATTCTGTACAAAAATAGTCAGTAAAGAGAAAACAGCAATCGTAACATGCAGGAAAGAACCCGAACCCAGACATAGCTGACAGTCATACTCCACAGATCATAATTAAGATATATATTCCTGGGTTATATAAAGACCTGAAGTGATTTAAGAGAGGGTGAGAGAGCACAAATGATGAGAAATGATGCACCGATGCAGTCCCTGCAACATTACACCCTAAAGAATACACCATGGTCAAAATACACAATTACTGACAACAGTCATTGAAGCTGGATGGTTGGATGCCAACTGAAAGGCCTTTGGAAAAAGAAAAGAAAATTAAAGTCAGGGTTAAAGAGAGTAGGAAGAGAGACAAAATAAACATAAGGACCAGTGTATATACAGTATGAGATCTTCTCTGTCTGCAATATCAGAAAACAATCTGGAGAAAGAAAAGGGGTCATGGTGGTTAAAATAGTTGAGAAATTGCTTGTGGGTTTTCAACAGCAGCCAAAAGGAAGTAACTCATTTCTATAATATTACAGGACCTTAATTTTTTGTAGATATGTGTGTGTGTATGTGTGTGTGTGTGCGTGTGTGTGTGTGTGTGTGTGTGTGTGTGTATGTATGTGCACATTTTCCTGGAGTAAATCTGTTTCTCCTGCTAGAGGAGAAGGATGCACCTTCCATTAGGAAGAGCTATTGTCCTCAGGAAGGCCCTTGCTCAGAATTCCTTCCATGGAAACACATCATAAATATCGGCAAGTGTTTCCTTTGGCTCTGATGGAAGATAATAGTCCCCATGTAATCAATGCTCGTGTAATTGTTCGTTTTCTCTTCTTTTGTTTTAAAAAAATTTACATGGTTCACTACAAAAACAGTCCTTATTAATCAGTATTTTTGTCTTCCTGTCTGGTAAAATATCTAAGCATCCCTCGAATAATATCTCAACATATACAGTAACATAAAACTGCATAAGATCTGCAGATATATAAAAAATATTTGTAACTATTATTATTATTATTTGTTTAGATGTTTTATTTGAAGAAATTAATTTACTTGAAAAGCAAAATCATATCAAAAGCATAAGATATGCAGATAGTCAATATATTTTTAATATTATTATTATTATCATTATGATAACGTTTAGATGCTTTAACTGGAAAAGAAGACAAATAAACTGAAGAAAATGATTTTAATTTTGTAATTAACCATGTTTTTTGTGAATTATTCATTTCAACATGTCACATTAAACAATTTAAATGCCAGAGTGCCATTGTCTTCCATATGTTCCTTTATCAAATTTGCAGGCATGAACTGATATTAACATGGTAATTGTATGCAGTGTATGAGTACATTGCAGTGGAACTGACCTTTGAGCATCAGAATCAAGATAGGGCAGATCATACATACAGAATAAATCTGGCCAAGTTCTTTTTGGTTTTAGAGTTGAGCATTAGCTATTGATGCAGTAGCACTGAAAGGTTTATACTTTTTTTTTAATGCTAATGAAGCAGCATGTGATGAGTTACTTCCAATCAGAATGTCTGACTGATCAAGTGTTTCACATGAGGTGAGCTTACCTGTATGAGACTGGCTGCTGGGTTTCTCCTCTTTTCAAAGTGCTTCTGTCTGTGCTGCTCTTGGACCTTCAGAGCAAAGCCAGAGCCAAGAATACCCTACACCCACACCCACCCACAGAAAGAAAACAAACGTCACCTATTACTAAGGTTCAATCCGCTGATTTGGACTAAGAGAGACTGTGAGTGTGCAGCACACATTTGTGAGCAGAGAATTACAGAACAATTGACGAGAGTGAGTCAGACAGGCCGCTGAGGGGCTTTACAGGCACACACACTGTGCGTTCTCAAACACATCATAAAAATCATCACAGTACAAACAGTCTGCCTGGGCTCACAAAAATGCTATTAGTGATTTCAAGTTTTCTCCTAAAAGACCACAAATCCCCTATCGCTCGTAAGTGAGATCACTTAAAGAGTCAGGATAAGAAGGGTCTCATGAAATAACACCTAACCTAATGCTTAACCTCAGAACAATTTAATCGCTTTTTTTTTTTTTTTTAAAGGAACAGCTCATCCAAAAATGAAAATTCTTTTTTTTTTTTGTCTTTTGAAACCCACATGACTTTGTTTTTTTCTGTGGAACACAAAACGAGTTCCTTAAATCCGAAAGCGAATAGTGACCAGGTTTTCAGATTTTTTTGTGAATAACGTCTTAAAGTAGGAATGAAAATGGTGTTTTCTTCCCTACTGTGTCATATATTCAGAGTGAATTGACTTTTCAAAAGAGAAGAAATGTAGAGAGGGACTTGATTTTGTCCATCAAGAATTGATCGGATTGTTGTTGTTGTTTGCTAATTCCTGCAATTTTTATGTAAGTGACGGGTAGCTTATAGTTCAACCCTTGTGCCAGTGCACGTTATCATTGAACAGATGTCATTGGGGACGTTAAAGCTAGGGTAGGCAATGTTCAAACACTTTTTGTTACATTGGTTGGAACTCTCTTCACATCCTGATAGCAATCAATAATAGAAGTGTTCTAAATGTACATATCTCTGCTATGGAAGTCCCAGGACCAAAGAATGTTCGTCCAATCGTTGCATTTGGTCCGAATGCAATGATAGAATATCCTACCTGCCTGTCAACTTATTTCCATACCTCCGCACACCCTGCTTGCGCAGACATCACACGTCATCGGTAGATTCCGTGAGGCTATGCAGATTTGTAAACACAGTCACTGAGTGCCACATACAAACAGCAGCCAGCTTTTACAGTTCCACCTGAACCAAAACAAATAGCTTTTTCTGCGCTCACGCCATGACGTAATTACTGTAATTAAGAGATGGCAACCTGTGACATTCTACTCGGAGCTGTTCACATCCTCATTCTCGGAATTGTGCGTTTCTAAAGCAACACTATCAACGCCGACATGAATCTGCAGCAGTCAGGTCAAAGCTCTTTAAATTGTTTGCTTTCCTTATTTTTATACACACTAAGTTATTATATGATTTTAAAAGACTTGAAGTCATGACATTAAAGTCATACTTCCATAATGTTTTTTAACACTGGATTTTTATATGGAAGAAAGCAATGTTTTGTGTTTCATAAAAGCAAATCATTTGGGTTTGGAAGAACATAAATGTAAATGATGGCAGAATTTTCATTTTTGAATATACACTATACTTTTAATTTATATTTTTATACACCCATTGTAATATAAAGCACTGTTTTTCAGAATATGAGTCCACAGTAGACTCTACATATAAGTTTTTGGGTTACTCACAGCAGGCAAAGCGAAGAACGAGATGCCCAGCAAAGCAAAACCTGCAGATAGAAGCCGCCCGGTCCAAGTCTGTGGAGTCTTATCCCCATATCCAATGGTGGTGAGCGTGATCTGAAGAAAGAATGTGGGTTAAAGAAAAATGTGTTTAAAAGTCTAGGGTCATTTTGGTAAGCATAAAATTTTGACTTCCCACAAGCAGACAGCATTGAAATATACGTCTGTTTGCAGGACGGCAGTGTACTTTTAACACTCCACACATCACCTTCACCCATGTATGAGGAGGAGTAGTAACCTCTCACACTCTGATTCTATCTACATAATGACCAAACATAGATCGAATCCTTACCAGGTTGCAGTGGAAAATCAAAGGCTACCAAACATGCACTAAATTCTGTCTGTTATGCCATACTAAACAGCCATAAACACCAAAGCTAAACCAAGCTGTATTCTAAAGTTACGGCCACACAGACGCACGGTATTAGATCCATCTTTCAGCAAGAGAAATACTTTGGTGGCTTGTCATAAAAAAAGATCAGTCTAACATCTCGCACTCCTTTCCACACTCATAAGTGAGCGCTTTGGATTTTTGCAGGCAGGGGATACTTAAACAAAGGCCGGGCCAAAGCAAATTCAACACATCCAGTAAAAGTGAGTGATTTGTCAAATGCAAAGAGCACTGCGGCCTTTCACAGCACATTGAGGTAAAGAGTAGGAGTGAGGGAGCTCACAGACTCCACACAGACAAAGCCAGACTCCCGTTCTCCTGTTTTCCTCCTCGGAAGCCTGCCTGTCAGCTCCAGACGCTGGCTTGGGCTCAACCCAGTGTAAATACTGTGTGGCAGCTTAATATTGGGCCGCTGCTGGTTTGTCTCTGCATCTGAGCTCTACAGCAGAAGACTATACCCTCAACTGACCTCACAACTCTTTGAAACAGCTCCATTTGTGCTTGGTAGGAGCAGGAAATTACATGCATTGATTTGTTAAGTCAGCTGGTGAGGAACCATGACCAGTCCTGCTGTGTGTCCACAACAACTAAACCCTGTCAAGGCCAATGGTTGTAACTCATTTATTGATTAATGCATAAAATACAGTGAGACACTGGCAATGCATATAAATGAGCATCCTAAAACCACAATGTGAGGATGGATTCTATATAGATATTATATAGATATGAAAAAGGGAGAAAATTTGCACAAATTTAGGCATTTAAGGTAGACTTACCGTACCCCACCAAAGAGCATCGGCGTAGGTGGCAAACTGTTTGTTAAATTCTTTCTCCACCAAGTAGACCAAGAATGAAGAAAAGATCAGCACCAAGAAGCCAATGTACCAGGCGGTCACAAGTTCCTGGAACAAATATCACAATATTAAACATCCAACAAATAGAGACATATCTACAAACATATGAATATTTCCTGCAGAAACATAATTATTAACCTTCAATTCAATTCGTTTTTAAACATTTCTGGTTTTAAAGAGGTTGCGATCTGTTCAAGTTAAAATATCAGCTAAATCAGCTGAGCATCAGAATGGGAGACCAGTTTAAACCAGATAAAACCAGCATGGCCAGGCTGGAAAAATAACTGTGTTATACAGTAATTTAAAACTTTTAACCTTTTTTATATTTCTGGTTTTAAAGAGATTGTCAGCTGATTAGGTTGGGCTAACAAGCTAAATCAGCTAAAAAAAAGGAGGACCAGTTTAATCCAGGCTGAATTACCAAAGACAAGCAAACCAGGTTGGTTTAAGCTGTTTTTTGTTTTGTTTTGTTTTTTAGGTTTGATCAGAGATGTCAGGAAAATGTAAACGCTTAAGCCTGAGAGGAGATAGAAATAAGTAACTCTGCTATTATATCGACCATAATGATTCATTTCGGGGACCCCTAATCTCTCCACTAAATGGCGGGTAACTGAGGACTGAGGAAGCTTGTGGTTTGGCTGCAGCCTGTGGATGGAGTTTCAGTCCAAGCGGTGCTGGAAAGAAAGGTTGATTGTGGGGTCACATGTCTGCCTCGACATGAAAACTCACACGCAATGTCATGACCTGAGCTCATTTACAAATTTTTGCCATCAAATAATGTTCAGTATACCTTGCTGTGAGCGTAGACTACAGATCCAAGCAGTTTCCAGGTACCACCTCGCCTGTCCATACGCACCATGCGCAGGATCTGCAAAAAACGCAGACTGCGGAGTGCAGACGTGGCAAAAATATTGCCCTGGCTACCAGCTGAAACCACTGCGATGGATGCAATGAGCACAATAATGTCTGAAACACAAAAAAGAGAGAGAGAGAAAAGATTCAGTGATAATTTGTACATTTGTACAATAATGTACCTATAGAACAATATAAATATATTGATAATTGGACTAGGACCACCCACCACCCATTTCAAGAGCACCGAAGCCCTTTTACCTATAAACTAAGCTTGCTGTATTTCTCAGAAGCTCTCAGATATCAGGGACAGAGATATTACAAAAATTAGTCTGTTTCACTTGTCTGTTATGTTGTTTTCCCTGAGAGGGGCCAAGAGAGAGCAGGGAAGCCACAGCCTAACAGAACAGCATATCTAATGCTCCGCTGCACACTGAAAAACCTCTCCAGATTAACCAGGGTCAGGGATAATATTGTTCTTTACTCAAATCACCTCCGTCATATTTTCCTGCTGAATGTTACACTTGAGGTTTGAAATAAGATTGTTCTTGTGTCACACATTCTGAAAGTGGCCTCCTAAAAGTCTGTTATTTGAAATTTGAATCTCACAATGCTTGAAGGTTGCTACATGGTGAAAATGGAACATTGAGGAACACAAACAGATGGGAATGAAAGCTGTTTAGGGTCATTGAGAACAAAAGCCATTCTAAAATATGGAAATCGAAAAATCATAACCAATAGAGAAACTACGAAAATCATAATCATGGTCATCTGAATCAGGCTTGAATTGGTTTGAAATTGACGCCATCCTTAATATTTACACCTGAAGAAATGAAACTCAAGGTTATGGTAAGGGGCATGACATTTCCCGAACACGTGCTAAGCGTTGCCAATCACAACACACTGGGCCAGCTAACCAATCATAGCACATTTCGAGTTTCAGAAGGAGGGGCTTCATCGAAACAGGAACTACATGGTGCTTTTGGTAAAATATGTGAAAAATAATGTGTTTGTTTTTTTAACAATCAAGCATGAAAGCATATTCTAGTACACCCCAAAAACAAAAAAAGTTAGGTAAACAGGTCACTGCCAGAATGTTCCTCAATTAATAAGTTGTTTAAACCAATTTATTTTTTTAATCACTGAAATGTTTTAATAGTTGCCATGAAAAAGTTCTGCATGAAGTTGAAGATGAATATGTTTTTATATTTGTGTGCAAAGAGAACAAACAGGGGATGTGGTTAATTATCACATAAAGTGAGTGAGCTTCATTAAGGGTCTGTCGGTGTATATAATATGCAAAAAACTTTACACAATTTCTAATGGGACATGCTGAATAAATGTGTTAGGCAGAGAGGGGAAATTGTTTCCTTTTTCTTTCTGTTTCATAATTCAGAGTTAGTCAGAGTGCTGATGGGGTTCTGATGGGACTCTGTCTCTTAATGAATGGAGATGAGGTTTAGTGTGTGCCACACGACTCTGATATATTCACACAGGAGCCTAAATTACCCTCATACAACACAATACCACATATACCCCACTAGTGTAATAAATATTATATAAATAGCACTCTTTACTTATTGCCTGTAATCCTTCATTGGTAGTTATTGCTCGTTTTCCTTTAAGAGGGAATTAAAAAAGAACTCTTTCAGTCATCATTATGTATGTTTGAGCCAGTCATCGATTCTGGGCAGAGGTGTTATCATTAGCCTATCGAGCATCTGTCAACATCCACACCCATACAGCAGATCCATCACCCTCTACAAACACACATACACGGGTGGAGAGCACACTCACAGAACACGTTTTTTCATCTTACCAATGACACAGAATGGTTTTCTAGCAAAGCGCAGTCGTCCTTGCCATCCCCTGTAACGACAGCAGCATCCAGCCGACCAGATGCGAATGATGTACTCCAGACCGAATACAACAATCATCACAAACTCCTGCAAATCAGAAAAAGACCTTTCATGACATCAGATGCACCACTTAATGGATACAATTAATACAATATGGCAATGGATTAAAACTATCTCACAAAAAATAAGTACAGAATATGCTTATTGTATATATGCTATGGGGACATTCCATAGACATAATGATTTGTACCTTCTATCCCCAAACCTCTAAACCTACCCATCACTGAAAAATTTCTGCATTTTTACATTTTCAAAAAACATCACTATGATTTATAAGGTCTTTTCTTCATGGGGATCAAAAAATATCCCCACAAGGACAAGGATTTCGGATATTGCTAACTTTGTGAGGACATTTTGTCCCCATAACATAGGCTTTACCAGGACCATATACAACCTGGTTCACCACAGGAGTCTAGCTACTGTAGCATAATTAACCTCTCAGCTAATCCATCATTGACACATTCCTGGTGCCTGCTAATTGCACTGTTAGATAAACCCCAGTTGAGTTCACAGAGGGTTTCACCTGATTAAAACATCTGTCTGCATAGAGTTTATAACACTGCACCTCTCATTGAGAAACACCATGCACTTACGTTACACTGCTCACTGATGCTAAATGCGCTTACAATCGGGTGAAAAGTTGAAACTTACAAGCTTTTGGAACACCTGGCACAGATTCTTGAGTACCGAGAAACAAAGCAAGCAAGCGAACAAAACAAATAAACAAAAAACAAACAAAAAGTAACAAACAAACAAATAAATAATGCAGTCAAGCTTGGAAGATGAAGTCTGTCTTTGGGTTGACCTAATACTAACCTTAAAAAATATGTATACTGTATTTAGTAGTTTCTTTAACTACTAAACTGTAGTCCATTACTGAATACAAATGACATGATTCAAATTGTAGTTAGAAACATAATTTCACAGGAAATATAACATTGATTTAAATAGTATAATTTTGTAAGAAAAAATCCCTTTTCCATTCCATTTTTGTTATCAACAACATGAAGTGCACTAAACATTGCATTACATTAGGGTTTCCCCAAGTAGGGTTTATATATATATATATATATATATATATATATAATATATGTATATCTCACAAACGTGAATACACCCCTCACATTTCAGCAAACATTTTAGTATATCTTCTCAAGGGACAATACTATAGAAATTAAACTTTGAAACTAGATTTTAGAGTAGTCAATGTGCTGCTTGTATAGCAGTATATATTTACTGTCCTCTGAAAATAACTCAACATACAGCCATTATTGTCAAAATAGCTGGCAACAAAAGTGAGTACATATACTGTATATATACACTCACCTAAAGGATTATTAGGAACACCTGTTCAATTTCTCATTAATGCAATTATCTAATCAACCAATCACATGGCAGTTGCTTCAATGGATTTAGGGGTGTGGTCCTGGTCAAGACAATCTCCTGAACTCCAAACTGAATGTCAGAATGGGAAAGAAAGGTGATATAAGCAATTTTGAGCGTGGCATGATTGTTGGTGCCAGACGGGCCCGTCTGAGTATTTCACAATCTGCTCAGTTACTGGGATTTTCACGCACAACCATTTCTAGGGTTTACAAAGAATGGTGTGAAAAGGGAAAAACATCCAGTATGTGCCAGTCCTGTGGGCGAAAATGCCTTGTTGATGCTAGAGGTCAGAGGACAATGGGCCGACTGATTCAAGCTGATAGAAGAGCAACTTTGACTGAAACAACCACTCGTTACAACCGAGGTATGCAGCAAAGCATTTGTGAAGCCACAACACGCACAACCTTGAGGCGGATGGGCTACAACAGCAGAAGACCCCACCGGGTACCACTCATCTCCACTACAAATAGGAAAAAGAGGCTACAATTTGCAAGAGCTCACTAAAATTGGACAGTTGAAGACTGGAAAAATGTTGCCTGGTCTGATGAGTCTCGATTTCTGTTGAGACATTCAGATGGTAGAGTCAGAATTTGGCGTAAACAGAATGAGAACATGGATCCATCATGCCTTGTTACCACTGTGCAGGCTGGTGGTGGTGGTGTAATGGTGTGGGGGATGTTTTCTTGGCACACTTTAGGCCCCTTAGTGCCTATTGGGCATCGTTTAAATGCCACGGCCTACCTGAGCATTGTTTCTGACCATGTCCATCCCTTTATGGCCACCATGTACCCATCCTCTGATGGCTACTTCCAGCAGGATAATGCACCATGTCACAAAGCTCGAATCATTTCAAATTGGTTTCTTGAACATGACAATGAGTTCACTGTACTAAAATGGCCCCCACAGTCACCAGATCTCAACCCAATAGAGCATCTTTGGGATGTGGTGGAATGGGAGCTTCGTGCCCTGGATGTGCATCCCACAAATTTCCATCAACTGCAAGATGCTATCCTATCAATATGGGCCAACATTTCTAAAGAATGCTTTCAGCACCTTGTTGAATCAATGCCACGTATAATTAAGGCAGTTCTGAAGGCTAAATGGGGTCAAACACAGTATTAGTATGGTGTTCCTAATAATCCTTTAGGTGAGTATATATATATATATATATTGTATATGGCCTCTCAATTTTCCATGTAATCATAGTCGCCTGAGTAGTGGCCAGTCTGTGTGTGCAATTCCACAAAATGTTTGATAAAAGGAAAAGATAAAAAAAAGAAGAATTAGGGAAAATCAATACATTCTGAATTATTTACTGCAATTTTTGTGAATATTAAGTAATCAAGTATTTAAAAAATAATATAATATAATTACAAGTATTTAATTTTTGGAATCTGATTACGGTTACTATCAATTACTACCCAGCATTGTTAATAATATATATTTTGATCTACATAAAATCCTGAATTTAGAATTTAGTTTTGGGGTTAGTGGTTCATAATATAGGCCTATAATTTTAAGATCCAAAAGAGAAAATCAAATAAAACTAGGTGTAAAGAATCTTCTCTGATGGATCTGATGGATGTTGCCATTTTATAAACTAACAGAGCAAATTTTCTTTTTTTTTAGTTCTTCTCAAGAATCAGTGTTGGATATACAGTGCTTTGCATCTCGATTATTCAAAATGTTTATGTCTAAATATCAAGTACTCTTTGTAGCTGTTGATGGACAAATGAACCTTTTCACAGGTCATATTTCACGTTTGCCCCATCTCTAAGGCGCAAGAGGCCTGGGATAGGCTTTAAACTGTCCTGTCCTAATCCACTGTGACAGCCGGGCTGAGTTTCCCACGGCTTGACACAACACTGTTTGCTTATCCTGAGTACTATCTGATACGGAGGCTGTGTAGGTCCTGCTTTCCCACCAGTGGGGTACACACCATCCTCTCCTGCTTTAGGTCAGCTCAGAGTCTGTGAATGTCTCTCAATACAGACTCTTTAACTGAAACAGGAACACCTTGGCCCAACTCCACCAAGAGCCCAATGGGACAGAGATGCTCAATCACTAAAAGCACCATGCTGCTTTCTGTTGACACCTGAGAGGATCCCATCAGCCAGCAAAACATCTCAGTGAAAGGATGAAACTAATCCAAGTGATTGTCTTTTAAGGTGAGGTACTGAACAAAGTTTTTAAAGGGATCTTGGAACACCACATTAGAGCAACATTGACATTTGACACCTTGTTTTGAGAGTAGTGATCCCAACACTATAATTTTCCTCTGTAAAGTTATCATTATAGTTGTAGTAAGTGGACTCCCCTATTCTCATAGAATTAGAACGATTATATATACTGTGTGTATTTGTGTGTGTGTGTGTGTGTGTGTGTGTGTGTGTGTGTGTGTGTGTACTGTGTGTGTATATATATATATATATATATATATAAATATATATATATATATACACACACACACACACGTTCCAAAAATTGGGGTCTGTAGGATATTTATGTCTCTTCTGCTCACCAAGGCTGCATTTATTTGATCAAAAATACAATAAAAACAGTAATAGTGTGAAATATTATAACACATTTCTACAAATATAAACAAATATAAACAAAGAAACTGTTTTCTATTTTTTTCTTTTCCCTGTGATGACAAAGCCATGAAAATTCAGCAGACATTATGTTTGGTGCTAAAGAAACTGTTCTTATTATTAATGTTGAAAACTGCTGAAACATTTTTGGGAAACCAGAATACTTTTCCCAATTTTTTTAAAATTAAAGTTCAAATGAACAGTTTTTATTTCAAATTAAAATATTTTGAAACAATGTAAAAAGTCTTTACTGTCATTTTCGTCCAATTGAATATGTCCCTGCGGAATCAAAGTATTCATTTCTTTCAAAAAATAAAATTGTACTGACCCCACACTTTTGAACTTTAGTCCCTGCTGACATCACTAAGGCCATGTAGGATAATCTTAACAAATAGCCAAAGCTATGTAGCAAAGTTTAAGCAAACTTTTTTCCCCATACAAATCAACTCCTTTTTTTGCATTTAATCATGTTTTACTCTAAAATACATCATTACAGAAATAAATGGGTAAACAGCGATTCATGTTGAGTGTTTCAGGTGTGTACTTTGGCTGTGCATAGTGTACAGTAGGCTTGTGTGCTTCTCACCAGTATAAGGAGACAGTGATTGGAGAGGTCCACATGAGCAGGGATGGTGGAGAACACAGAGAGAACCAGACAGCCAAACACCAAAGTGAACCTGCCAGTGAACAAAACAGGAAAAACATTAGTAACTGTATCCTGTTCTGTGCGACTTCACCTGAGCAACTGCGAGCTGAAACTAAAGGTTTCATTGTTCTGGAGTGAAAGAACCTTAACAAATCCTCAAGATGGACCGCATTAAAGAACATTCTGAGAGCTTTCAGAGAGGCATTAGATCGCAAACAAATCCGGTGGTGCTTTTCTACAGACCTGAATGACATGGTGCACATACAAATCATCACTTTCAGCATCATTGAAGGTGCAGAGTTTTGCTTGGATGTGTGTCTTATAACTAGTATGTCACATCGCACACCCTCTGGCTCTCTGCTATTGTCTGAGAGCTATTTACAGGAACATACAGTACAGTACGCTTTCTCCTGCTGCCTCTCTATCTGCCCTGTTTCCTCTCTCTCTCTGTTGTTCTCACCCTGTATAAACAGGCTATTAAGAACATTGGCCTGAGGTGGTTGAGAACAGAGATGGACTCTTCATCTTCAGATGCAGCTGTGCGAGACGTGCAGCCGTATGGGGTTATGTGCTGTCTGAGTGAACTAGCAGACATCACCATGTCTTCCAGCGAATGCTGTTCTTATGTATCCTGTAAATACATTGTGTCTGGGAGCCTTTTTTTTTTTTTTTTTTTTTTTTTACACATACAACACTGTCTTCTGTATTTCACCTTTCATCTCCACCTTCCTCTTATTTGAAAGGGATCATAATCTATAAGTTTGTAAATTATTATTTCTTGGTGCTGCATAGCACAATAGTGGATTTAAAAGTTTCAACGTAGAGCCTTTTGCTATATTTGCTCTCTGTTTTCATAGTCTTTCGATAAATAACATTTTATATAATGCAACATACTCCAGTAGGTCTGCATGCAGGGTAGGCACCAGCGGAGCACTGAAGAGGGGGCTTCTGGAGCAACTAAAGGGGGCGATGATGTAACACAAACTATCAGCTAGAAAAAACATATGTGGCCCATTTACGTATTTGTCAGACCGTAAACAAACCTGTCTCGCTACAAAAACGATGAAACTAAAAGCTACTGAACAAATACAGATGGCAGAGCATTGAATAATAATACTACATAAAACAAAAAGGAAAATTGGCCAGGCCAACATATTCGAAAATTCGACTCATCGAGATCCATGAAATTAACACGTTTTAAACCACCACATAAATACGTCTTAGATACACAATTTCAGCAGTTTTACCATGCAAGTTACCAAGTTACATACAAGTTACCATGATAACCTTCAAACAATGTTGCTGAAATTTCTTTATTTTTTTCCATGTTAACAATATAAACATATTTAAAATATTTAAACCTTTTTTACAAAGGTTTAAGGCTCATAATTGTACTTATTATGCATTAAAGCAACACGTTCAGGCTTGTGTTTGATCTACTGTAAGTTATTTGGCTTATATTTACAAAATGAACAATCAAACCAGGATATATTAAAATAAAACGTATTAGTCCACAGATACATTTTATACAGGTTTATTTCAGTTATTGCATTCAACAAATTATAACAATTAATAAAAGACACAATTTTAAAGCATTGCAAGGTACAAAGGAAGAACACAACAAAGTGAAATCATTGTATAAAAACTAGCTTCGCTTCATCCTAACGTTACACAAAGCGAATGCCTGCAATCATTCAGTCAGGGACGACAGCACAAAATGTTCAAACTACTGTAATAAAAACAATATAAACTGTTACGAAACGATAAACATTTGTAGTTTAGGCATAAGTTTGTGCAATGCTGAAACTAATGCAGCAGCATAACCTGAAAGGCCTGAACTGAGCATCATACTCTCTCAAAATCAGAGGTAAAATCCTTACTTACTGACATTTCACTTGAGACATAAATAAAAAGTATAATTAAACTTTATTTGGAGTTCTTCTTTATTACACTATGCACATTTCTATTAAGCCTAAAATGTATTTTAATATCACTATTAGTAAGGATAGTATGATCACTGTATAATATCAGTCTTTAAATGAAAGCCATTTAAAATATACCTAAAGTATACTTGCAATAATTCCACTTTAGCACAATCAAATATACCTTTAGTTGAACCTCAGATACTTCCAGATAAGTAAAGTGCATTAAGTACAAAATTAGTTGCTCCAATTTAGCAGACTATATCAATTTAGTATACCCAAAATAAAATTGCATGGTATTAGATGTAAATGTATTTTTAGTGTACTTAGCATAAAATAAATGTATTTCAAATACATTGTGGAATATGTATTTTTCACTAGGGATAAAAGAGAGTTTGAGAGGTGTTTATTCGCAATCTGTGTCTCTGTCTGTGATCAATAACAAACAAGTTGTGGCATTTGTCTGTAACTGTGTTAACAGCTGTTATCAAAGTCCTGCTGACAGCACTGACCTGTTCTTCTGTCTTTCTTTCTCTTTTTGTCTGTGAGACAGTCTGTCTGACCTACTCCTCACCCTTTTAGTGCTTGGCTAACACATGCACACCCACACGGGGCAGACTCTTTCAGTTAGTGTGAGGGCTTCTGTGAATCTCATAATACTTCATAGTATTACAATCCCCAAAGACTGAATCGTGACAGAGTTTATGAGTCATTGCAGGATATAGCGCTTTCCATATCCTGGTGGTACAGCAGACCACAACTATTACACTCAAACTGGTGTGGTACAACTCAACTAGAACATGTTTATCGCATTTAAACATGCATACGGACAAATGTACACACGCACACACAATAAGCCAAAGAAAAGGGCTTCTGCTACAGTCATTACTGTAATCCAATAAACATGCGAAACGGTAGCAGCAACACAAAAAGTCAACTTGAAAAGTACGAGACCAATAGTGTAATGCATTTATTTTCATATTCATAATATATTATCACCATAACAATTTGAGTAAAAAGTTGAATAGAAAAATTGACATGCATTTCATAATTTCAAATATTTCTTTATTTAGTTTGACCCCCTTTTGCTTTAATAACAGCAACACTCAAGCTCCATGAACTCCACAATTTTGTGTATCATGTGATCCAGCATGATTTGAGAGCATCGTGCTTTAAATGGAAGCAAGACAATGTGTTAACATAAATAAAAATGTTCAATGAAAGAAATCCCAGACTCTTTGCACTATACGTGCACCCAGACCCATCTTTCAGAGCTATTTGATGGATCTCTCGCACTCAGATGTGGGGGCAAATGAAAATATTAGACCAGGAAGGAATGACTTTTTTGAACAAACAGCTGCAGGTACCAGAGCTCTGCTAAACGCTTAGGCCAGACAATGTGTCTTTCAGCATTCAGAGCCGTGTGGTCACAGCGCCAGGCTCCCACAGACTCCGACATCTGAGCTTTCAAACCTCTGAACCCCAGAGACTTTCTTCCATCGGCAAGACAAAACACAGCACCACCTACTAATTCTGGTCTCTGCTTGTAAATGTGCATGAGAGTGTCTGTATGCAAATGTCAGCTTGCAGTTCTGTCTTAGTACTGTTTTACGATGCAACGGAGAAATAATAAAGACGGAAATAGTACAGTAGCATATAATGGGCTGCACACCTGTTTCTGTTTGCCCATGTGTGTGAGACTGTCTGAGCGAGGTTGTGTTGTTTTTGAAGCAGGTCCTGAGGGATTTAAGGAGCATTCAGGCAGACAATGATTACATGCTCAGAATTGGAATTTAAATAATTTCCCCATAAGTCTGGCCACCTGCAGTGTGTACTCGCTAGGGATGTCCCGATCCGATCACGCAATCGGAAATCGGGCCCGATCACGTGGTTTCAGACTCGATCGGAAACGGACGTTACCTCCCGATCAGGACTCGGATATGTGTAAATTAGGGGTGTAACGGTACATGTATTCGTAATTATTGAACCGTTTCGGTGCGAGGCTTCCGGTTCGGTACGCATACAAACCGAACGATTCCTAGAACCATTTTTCCTGCAGACAAAATCCGCGCTGGCGCGATCACCACAACGTTGCGCAACATCAAATGGCGAACGTAATAAAAGCGGAACGAAACTGCGCTACTCATTATATTGTGCTTAACGGACCATTTATCAGTTCGGACCAGCAACATCTGTGCAGCGCTTATCAAGGGGGTAATCCATCGGCCGGAAGTTGAAGCCGGCCGGGTGCCGCCATGTTGAAGCAGAACTTCACTTGCGTTAGCATTTCCATTGACTCCCATTCATTTTGGCGTCACTTTGACAGCGAATAACTTTACATCTGAGGCGTTTAAAGACTCCATTTGTCCATTATTTATTTCTAAAAAACACGACAATGTATAAAGGGCTCTATTACCTTCTATGTTACATTATGGCCCCGTAGAAACAGATTTAGTAAAAATTGGCTAACGATTGCGTCATAACCACTCGACTCTCTGTCGCGCTGTACAGAAAGTACCGTATAGGAGAAGCTCGCAGGCAATCGGGGGGACGTCCCGTCAAGGGAGAAGCCCATAGATAATGAGTCCATAAAAGCAACAGGATACTTACTCCTGCTCACTCACGCCAAAGGACTCTTTGCTCAAGTTCCCCGTCTCTGCAAGATTAACGTTGGCAATTTTCACGCACAGCTACTAAAAGATTAACGTCTGTCAGACAGGTTGCTCACGTCATCAAGCTTAGTTTGAGCCGGTTTGAGTCTGCGCGTCAGGAACGGAAGTGCTCAAAAATCGCTAAAAATGGGCTTCAACTGTCTCAACTGAGTTCCAATGAGATGGCTCTGTCCACTTCTTATACTGTCTATGGTGCAGCGCGAGATCAAGCGACACTGTGCTAAGAGATCCAGTGAAGAAAACATTTGAATTTGCCACTGATGTAATAACATCGCTGCGAGATCTAGTGAGAAGCATTCAAATTTCTCCGTTTATTAACCATAGATCTCTATTAGATCAAACAGCGCTGACGTGGGAACCAGGAGAAACATTGTGCCGTAAATGAACATGGATTTAGTGTTGCACTTCAAAACTCAAATATTATATAAATATATATT